GTATAAAATAATTATATTTCTTTTTAAAAATCGACTTATAATCATATCATTCAATAAGTAATGGTTCTTAATCTTTTAAGTATTATTACTTTATGTATAACTAGTTTATTATATTAATTATTTTATTAATAATACAAATAACTTATAAATATTGAAAGAATAATAAAATGTTGGTTGAATTTAAATAAATATCATTGCTAGAAATTGCTTCCATAAGATTTAGAAATCAAATCTTAATTAAATTACTTCCATAAAAAATATAAGTAAATATTTAATGAGAAAATAAACAATAAATATTTGAGAAGAATTATTATAATAATAAAATTCAAATTTTAACAATATAATTAATTTCATGTCTTTAGCTAGAACAAGTTAAAGTTCAAAACATTAAAGGAATAGTGAGAGTCGTTTTCAACAATAAATTAAAACTTTAGTTCAGAATATCAATAATCCACCTTAAAGTTTAACATAATAATGGATAAAAGATAAGGAAAATGAATAAAAATAATTATTTGAAGAAGTTAGATAAAGCGAATTTGCAGGAAGATCATAAACAATTACATAATTAACAGAGTTAGCAAAAAAAATTGGAAAAATAAAGAAAAATTTTTTAAGTTTTACGGATGATCGAATGAGAACACCAGCATCAGATAAAAAGAGTCGTAAATCTACTAAATCAGGGAAATCAGTGAAAAGTTAAAGTAGAAAGTAGAGCAAATTATCCCAATCAAGAGGGTAATTGAAAAGCCTAGAACAGAGTAGAAGTAAATCATCAAAAAAAAGTAAAAAAGGATTAAAGTCATCAAAAACACAATAAACTCCAAAATTTACAAAAAAAACTTTTGAAAATAAGTTAGGTAGTTTTTCCAAGGTTGTGTAAAACTAAAAAGATAGCATAAGACCTAATGTTAGAAAAACAGAATCAAGAGGTTCTAAACATGTTGCAGACCGTAGTTTAAGGTAAAATTTTTAAATATAATTAAGTCCACCTAGATCAACTTTAAATTCATCTAAAAAATAATAATATAATAGAAAAGAGTATGGTACTTATTATGACGATGGAAGTTCAATAACAGAATCAAGTGATTCAAAAGAAATGATAAACCTAAAAGTAAACTCAAAAAAACAATTATTAAAATATGAAACTCTTCTTGAGAGTGAAAGAAAAGGGCTTGATACAGAAGTATGCTAATTAAGTAGAGAAGAAAATTTAATGCTTACAACAAAATTAGAATCAGTTTCTAAAGAGAAACTCCTACGAGAATATCGTGTTTTATATTATAGAAGTAAAGAAGTCAGAAAATTATTAACTGAGTATTATGAATAGAATCTAAGTCTTAGTGATGAATTAAATGATTTAAAGCAATTATTATCAGAAAAATGTACTCAAATTAAATAGTTAAAAAAAGATTTAAAGAATTAATCAAAAGAATTTAAATTAATGTAAGATGAATATAGCAGCAAATTAGATTAGCTTGGTAAGTCATATTAATAATAAGAAATGAATTCTGTTCCTCTAAATGATTATGATAGCATTAAAGAAGAAAATGAAAAGCTCTTAGTAGAAAATGAAATGTTAAAAGATGATTATAAAGATATTGCTTAAAAATTATAATAACTAGAAAATGACATTTATTAAAAGAGACAATATGAACATCCTGATTAAGATATTTCTCAAAGACTTTAAAGAGAAGTTGATTCTTTAAAAGATTAAACAGAAAAAATAAGAGAAGAAAATATAAAACTTAAATTATAATTAGACAAAGAAATGCTTACTAATAGAGAATTAGCTTAATAAATAAATTTTAAGAAAACTGAGATTGATGGAACATTTGAGCTGAAATAATAAGAATTAGCCTAAACTAAAGCATAACTATAATCTGCAAATTCTAAAGTTTAAAAATTAGAGTAATAGATTAGCCAAATGAAATATTAAATTATAGGAGATCAAGAGTAATCTTTCTAGGTCAAAGAAAAAATATAGAGATAAGAAGAAGAATTAAGAATAGCTATTCTGAAAGTTGAAAATAGAGAAAAAGAATTAAATGAGTCAAAACAAAAAGAATTAGCATTAAAAAAGATAATTTTAGAACTTGAATAAAAACTAGATAATTAATCCTCCGTTTCTCAAATATATTATGAGCCAAATTTCTCTATTAACAAATCAAATCATGCAGAATCATGTAATATTTATTATTAAACTCTTAGATTTTAATAAAGAATTATAAGCTGAAAGATAATTTTTAGTAAAAACTTAAGAATAATTGTTGACTCTTTAAGTAGAAAATGAATAATTAAAAAGAAACTTGAAGTAGTTAGAACTAGAGTTATCTTTTGAAAAGTAGACTAATGAATAAATTAAGTCAAGATTAGCATAAATTTAACAAGAAAAGGATGTTTCAATTTAAAGGGTACAAAAATAATTTGATGAAATGGAAAACACTCGATAAAAAGAACTGATGGTAGTTGAATAATCTTCTAAAAATTAAGAAAATATGTTATACAGTGCTTAATAGAGAATTAATGATTTAGAAAGCGAACTAAGAATCTTAAATAAATAAGAGTAAGAATTAAAGAATCAAATTAATGACTAAAGAATACAAATTGAAAGATAATAATTAAAAATTGAATAAAATGAAATGAAGTTAAATGATTTACATGATTAGATTTATCAAATTTAATCTGAAAACTAGCATTTGAATGAAATAAATAAGTAACTCAGAATCTAACTTTAATAATTAAATAGGGAAGTTGATTAAATTGACAGAATAAAGGATAATTATAAAAATAAATATTTAAGTAATAGACAAGATAACAAAAAAATAATATATTAACACCCAGAAGTATTTATAAACTAATATCTAGAAAGAAAATGTGATGAAATAAACATATACTAATGAAGTAGAGAGGATAAGAAGTGAAAAAGAATAGCTAGAACGATTAAAAAATTAAGAAGAACAATAACGAAATTCAAGAGATAAAAAACTGTAAGTTATCAATGATTTACAATAAATGATAAAAGTCAATAAAAAATCATTCGATAAATGAAGTTAATTGTATTATTATAAAGATTTTAATTTTTCAATAAATTAATATTTTAATTTTAAAACTAAACTTTAGAGATTAAAATTACATTCAATTATAAAAAAATTACATCACAAATAAACAATTTCATCATTAAATTAAATTATTATCTCGAGTTTAAATTTCTTATTAAATCAAATTGAAATTATTTTTATATTCCTATCCATTTTTATTCTCATTATATTTCTATAATTTATAATCAAATCTAAGTCTTCTTAAAATTATTTTTTTGAATAAAAAGATTTGACTTAATTTTCTTGTTTACATAATTACCCTTATTTCAAAGAGATACTTTTAAAAAGATAAAAATTCCAATCTTTTATGAATCTTAAAGTTTTTCTTAAAAAATAAAAAGTTGATTTATCTTTTTTTTAATTTCTATAAATCATCTAATAGCAATTATTCGTATATGAAAAATCAATTTCTCTCAAGTTATCATCACTAAATTCTTTTCAACAAATAATTTTTATCAAATATAAATATATTCAGTTAAGCCTCAGTTATTTCTATTTTGCCAAAAATCATTATTATTTTTTATTAGTAAAAATATTTTGAATATTTCGAAAATGACAAAAAAAATGTTACTTGAAATAAAAATATCAAAAGAAAAGATTGAATAACTTAAAATTAAGAATAAATTGAAAAAAATGTAAGTTTGGGCAAATTAGGTTCATTGGTAATAATTATATAGAATTAAATCAATAATTATACCTAACCCAAAAAAAGAAAAAGTAATCCTGCCATCTCTCAAATAAAGTCTTAAAATGAATTATTTTTAATAATTTAATCTTAACTTTTTAATTATGAAAGGTAGTCAAGATTTTGGATTTGAGTAAATTATCTGAGTATTCAAATTAATTCTTAATGAAAGACACCCTATATAGTAGATAGTAGATTTAGATTATTAACTACAAAATTAATAGTGTGAGTATTAATAATGATCAAACATGACTAATATAATCTTTGAATTATTTTATTTATTGTAAGTCTAGATTTTTGTTTTTAAATGGAAAAGTTTATTATTTACTTAGATTAATATTATAAACCTAATTTAAAACACATTTTCTTGTTAAATTCTGAAATTATTCTACTTAACAGGGAAAAAGATAATTTACTAATTTGATAAATTTAATGTAAAACGAATATATAGTTTATGTATATAAAAATTTTAATATTTCAACTGAGATTTAGGATTTCTTATTCGATTTTTTATATCTCACTAATAAGTTTTTTTTGATAATCTTATAGGTTATCTTTAGGTGTTGATTTTAATNATAAAAAAATTACATCACAAATAAACAATTTCATCATTAAATTAAATTATTATCTCGAGTTTAAATTTCTTATTAAATCAAATTGAAATTATTTTTATATTCCTATCCATTTTTATTCTCATTATATTTCTATAATTTATAATCAAATCTAAGTCTTCTTAAAATTATTTTTTTGAATAAAAAGATTTGACTTAATTTTCTTGTTTACATAATTACCCTTATTTCAAAGAGATACTTTTAAAAAGATAAAAATTCCAATCTTTTATGAATCTTAAAGTTTTTCTTAAAAAATAAAAAGTTGATTTATCTTTTTTTTAATTTCTATAAATCATCTAATAGCAATTATTCGTATATGAAAAATCAATTTCTCTCAAGTTATCATCACTAAATTCTTTTCAACAAATAATTTTTATCAAATATAAATATATTCAGTTAAGCCTCAGTTATTTCTATTTTGCCAAAAATCATTATTATTTTTTATTAGTAAAAATATTTTGAATATTTCGAAAATGACAAAAAAAATGTTACTTGAAATAAAAATATCAAAAGAAAAGATTGAATAACTTAAAATTAAGAATAAATTGAAAAAAATGTAAGTTTGGGCAAATTAGGTTCATTGGTAATAATTATATAGAATTAAATCAATAATTATACCTAACCCAAAAAAAGAAAAAGTAATCCTGCCATCTCTCAAATAAAGTCTTAAAATGAATTATTTTTAATAATTTAATCTTAACTTTTTAATTATGAAAGGTAGTCAAGATTTTGGATTTGAGTAAATTATCTGAGTATTCAAATTAATTCTTAATGAAAGACACCCTATATAGTAGATAGTAGATTTAGATTATTAACTACAAAATTAATAGTGTGAGTATTAATAATGATCAAACATGACTAATATAATCTTTGAATTATTTTATTTATTGTAAGTCTAGATTTTTGTTTTTAAATGGAAAAGTTTATTATTTACTTAGATTAATATTATAAACCTAATTTAAAACACATTTTCTTGTTAAATTCTGAAATTATTCTACTTAACAGGGAAAAAGATAATTTACTAATTTGATAAATTTAATGTAAAACGAATATATAGTTTATGTATATAAAAATTTTAATATTTCAACTGAGATTTAGGATTTCTTATTCGATTTTTTATATCTCACTAATAAGTTTTTTTTGATAATCTTATAGGTTATCTTTAGGTGTTGATTTTAATTTTTTCTTTTAAAGTTTCAGATCAATTTATATAACTTTGATTGATTCCTTCATTTTCTTAGGTTGCTTGCTATTTTTAGTGTTGAAATGCTCATTATAGTTACTGCCTTAGATTTAAAATTCTTGGATATTATTTATGGGTTTTTCATTCAGCCTTTAAGTAGATGCTTCAGTGTATTTGATATTTAAAAGCCTAAAAGGAGAACATTAGACATTAAATGCTTTGTTTTGAATCTTTGTGAGGGCTAACTGCAAATTATTATTACTAATTTACATATAAATTAATAAATAACTATTATTCATAAGTTATATTCTAAGTTATCAAAATAATTAAATTAAAATTATTAGAATTGCATTGAAGATAGAGATGGGGTATCTTGGTATTTTATTGAGTATAAAATATGGATCAATTCCTTCCATTTTTTAGGAATTATTTTTTGACATAGAATTCTGCTTTAGGATCTATTTAATTACTAAAATCATCTTCTCTAGAAAATCCAATTAATTTAAAAATTTGAATTCGTATTAACTGATAGATTAATCCTTAATATAAAAACTGTAATTTTTTAGTCGCTTCTATTAGTTTATATTGCCATTTGATAATCCATAATTATAGTCTTTATAAACTTTGATACTGAAGTTAATCAAATAGAGATATATTTCAAATCTTATGAACATATTATAATTTATGATCATCTCCTTTAATCAAGAGATATATTAATTTATTAATCAAAGATTCTAAAACTAATAAATGATAAGGTTCATCAACAAATTAATTATTTATTTTTATTTACAGAAAAATTGAATCTCTCAAAGAGATTATCCTTATTTTTATATAAGCTCAAATATGCTATGATTAGATAATATTTATATATCTTATTTGAGACTCCCATGCCCCACTAATCTTATTAGTTTTCATGCTAAATAGATTTTCCTAGATTTATTATTAAATTTATACTAATTCATAAAATAAGGATAAATACACATTAATTTTTAATTAATTTAGTTGATTTTAAAAGTTTATTTGAAATCCTTGAAATATTAAATTAATAAATTTGATGAATTTATAAGATTTGATTAAGCAATTCATTCAAGCCACATTTATAGTTAAAACAAAAGTTATTTGAATAATTCATTCAAAGTTGAAAAGCTAATTTAAGAAATAAAATTTATTGTTTTAAAAATATCATATATTGTAATAATAGAGAGTTCAAAAGTATGAAAGATTTAATAATATTAGCAATTTAATACTTATATTTTATTATAATGATATTGGTTCAATCATAATAGACTCTTCCAGTCATCATATTATAGAAATCATCAAATGTTACAAAACCATCATCATTTAGATCAGCTTTTCTAAAAATCTTTTTAATTTCTTCATCACTCAAATCATCTCCTAAATCAATTGAGACCCTTTTCAATTCATCCCAAGTAATTCTACCTATAATTATTCAATGATTTAACCTTCACGATTGAGATCAAATAAATTAAATGTTCTCATTAAAGAACCTTTCGTTTCTTTTAGGTTTTATTTAACTGTAGCTAATTTGATAAAATTGTCGAATGAAAATCCTCCTTAATTATCTTAATCTATCTCTCCTAAAACTTAATAAATCATTTTATTTTGAGCTCTAAGTCCTAATTCTTCAAAAGCTCCTTTTAATTCAGCTGGATCAATTGTACCACTTCCATCATCATCAAATAGATCAAAAGCTTTCTAAATAGATATAATTCTATAAAATACTAACTTTTAATTCAATAACTTCATCTCGACTTAAATTTTATCTAACATATGTATCTGGATTAAATTATTTATCATCTAAAACTGGTTTTTATGGAGGAGGTGGTGGTGGAGGAGGTTGTTAAACATTTTTTGATTCTTTTTTTGATTATGAACGGGGATTCGATCTCATATATCAAATTTATATAAATATATATTATAATTACACATATAAATAATTTGAACATTCTTTTTATTTCTCAATTATTTATAAATGAATCTATTCTTTTTCTTTCTTATTCTTCTAACATATTTTTATTTTTATTCATCTTTTTCACTTTATAAAGGAGTTCTCTCTTCAATCTCCATTATAACAAATACTAATTTTATAAAAATATAAATTACCTCTTTCTTTCTCGAGCTTAAGTATCACTTTCAAGTTATTATTGATCTAATTATTATTGATGATTAAGTTTTACTTTTTAGATTTTGATATTTCAAGAAAAAATTTAAAGTTTCTTTATTTGAAGCAGGCAATTAAAATGAAAATTCTTATACTTGCAAACTCTTCAAATCCGATTAACTCAGAACAAGTTTATTTTAAAATCTCTAATTTTGCTATCCTCTCTATATATAAGTTATAGTTTTTTTTCTTTTATATTAATTAATTCCCTATTTCATTTACTTTGTGACAAGATAGTCTACCTATCTTATTTTTCTTTTGGAAAGTTAAAATTACACAAATAATCTAATTCTTCTTAAATTCTCTCCTAAAATCGAATTAAAAGATTAAAAAAATAATCATTATAATAATTATTATTTTATTGTTTAATAAATTTAAAATAATTTTAATAAAAATGAAACATTTTAACAATTAATTGATATGTTACAAAAGATAATTACTTTTGATAATTTATAGTATATAAAATAGTAAAATTATTCATTTTATTTTAATCTTGAATTTATTAGTTCTATCTTATAAAACAGCATTTTTTGTTGTTTCTTCTTATACCATTGTGCTTAAAAATGGATTTGAAAATCTTTTTGATTCTGGAATTTTATGAATTTCGATAGTATTGATGGTTTATTAAGAATTATTACGGCCTTATTTTATATTAAACTAAATTGGACTGTAAATTCTATCAGTTTAACAACTCTGTTCTACAGTCTATGGTTGCATTTAAGAAATAATCGAACTTTTATTACTCAAATCACAAAATCTTACTTCTGATCCTCTATATGTAAATGATTTATCTTAGTTTTCTTTTTCAACAATTAGACCTTTAATTTAGTTTATAATTAATTTCTATTTTCTCATATTTGATGCTATTTATTACTCTACATTTTAAACAATAACTTTAGTTTCCTATTCTTTTTATACATTTTAATATAAAGTATTTAAATTTTTATGTAAACCATTATTAATAAGAAAGTAACCATTTAATTATTATTCAAGATGTTAGATTTCAATAGATATTGATCTCTTAGGTTATTAAATTTAGATTTATGTGATAGTTTAAGTTAATTATGTTTAAATAGCACATGCTTATTATGCGTATTTCAAAGTATTCTCAGTTTCTTCACTAAATTATTTACTTATGCATGCAATAAAAAGAGTCATTGAATTACCACTTAAAGATTATTTTAAAATTCTAGTTAATTTTGAATTTCTATAAGGAATATGTGATTTACATTAATTCAACATCATAATACATTATCCTAAAGCCAACAAAGATTTATTAATATTTTAACCTTCTTATTAAATTTTTTAAGTTCCTCCATTTTTATAATTGTAACATCTTTCACTTCCTGCCAAATCAGCTAATATTAATTTACCATCATATTTAATATTTTATTTTTCATCATAATTCATCACTTAAATCTATACAATAGCATGTGATCTAGATGAATATTGATTACTAGCAGTTGAGGCTAATTATCTTCTTTTTTGTGCTTATTAAATTAATTAAATCAAATGATCCTCGTCAACTATACATTATTATGATAAACCAAGTATTTTTGTATCTCCATTCTTATCTTCTAAAACTTACAAATTTTATGTGCTTTATTCTAATAAATCAATAATCTATTCATTATATATTTCATAAAAACTAATTTTTATAAATCCATTTTTCTTTAGTTGAAAAAGTTCTTTAACTGCTTAATATACTATTCCATAATGATCCTTTTAATTTACTATTTTTTTACATATGAGTTCCCAAACATTGTATGAGTTTTTCCTGATCCTGTCATACCGTAACATAACACTGTCATATTGAATCCTTCAAACAATTTACTTATAAATTTAGATAAAGTCTAATAAATAAACAATAATACTCCTTCATAAACAGATACATTGGAATCATTTTCAGTAAAGATTTTCTAAAAATTCATTTCTCTATTTGATATTCTAAGCTATTTCTTTAAATTTCATTATTACTATTTTTTCATTAACAACTTCTATTGGATTTGTAGAATCTGTGTTAGAGCGTATACGGACAAAAACCTAAAAAGGCTAGTTGATTTTCATATAAAATTTATTTAACGTATATATTATATATAATATTTATAAAATTAAACATAATATGCATCTTGTTTAAACTAAATAAAAAGAATTACCTTCTTAAACTTTTATATACTATATGTATAACATTTATTATTTACTAATATAAGCTTATAATTTTTCTTATTTCAAAATAATTGTGCGATTACTTTCTCCTCTTTCTTTTTCATTATTAAATTTGTATTGTATTTTAGTTTCAACTATTTTTCAATTTAATAGCTTTCTAACGGTTTTTCCAAAAGTTCACTTTTGTATTTATGTTGAAGACATTTACAAAATATATAAAATTTTTCTTTATCATGTAATTTCTATTAAAGCAAATCTAAATCAGATAGTAAATAATATAAGCAATCAATATGTTTTACAGCTTTTTCAATTTATTCTAATTTTAAAGTAGCTGCAAATTCAAAGTTTGAATTCTTATCCTTACCAAGCAATTGATGAATAAATTAATAAATACTAATCTCAATCTTTTATGGATCTACCATTTTTGAGATACATTATACTAAAAATTAACATAGAAGTAATTTCTATTTATTATATTTATATAATTACTAAATGTTACACAATTGGTTATGAAGCAGTTCTTTCAATATGAGTAAGTATGACATTTAAAGATTCTAAAATTAACCTAAAAATTCAATTAAATAATTTACATGTTATAATGTGGATCTAAAAATGAAGAATAATCAATAAAAAATACTTTGAAGAAATCTGGATAATCTAAAAATAGATTTTATTTTATTTTGATTTCTTTATTAATAGCATTTTCAATAATAAAATTACTTGTATGTCTTTTAACTAAAGAGAACAATGCTTTGATAAAAAGAGGTTAAGAAAAGTTCAAATTATTTACAGTAAATTCATGATTATCTAGTTTAATCATTTTTTAATTCACTAAAGATGTAAATCTACCCCATATTTTCTCATTGAAACTTTTTGTTTAAGTCCATTTATCAAAAAAAATATATTCTTCTTTGAATTAAGTTTCTTCAGGAGATTTTAAGATTCCTAAATTTAAAACTGTATCATTTTAAAAGTTCAATTAAATTAAAATATCAACAATAGTTTTCTTATCATCACATTCTAATAAATAATTAAGTAAAGTTTCAATTCCTCTGTTTGATGTTTATGATCTTTTGATAGTAATTGCAATTAGATTTGTATTAAAATTGCTTAATTCTTCAAATTTAGGGTTGATTCTTAAATGATAAGAAACCAATAAACTTAATTTAGGATAATAATGTAAAATTTAATCAAGCTCATGTTATTATAATAATTCATCAATTTAAAGTGAAAGTGATATTACTTCTTTTTTAGATTAATAATTCATCAAAACAACATCTAATGATGAATTGAGGAATTAAATATTTTATGGATTAAAAATTAAGTTAATAAGTGGTAATTTTAATTATGGATTGACTAAAAATGACATGAGTTAGAAAGGAAATAAATTAGGATCACTTTTGCTTAAAAATATTTAAGCTTCTTCTAATGGGATTTCTTTTCTAAGATACCACAATAAAACTATTTCTGAATATAGCTAATCAGCAGATTAGAGTAAAATATAATTTGAAAATTTATGAGATAACTTTCCCTATAGAAATTCTTTTAATATTATTAATCTAATTTGGTTGTGCTCTAAATTTTATATCTTTGACAACATTTTTTGAGGGGATTGTAAATTTGGACTAATAATTGTATAATTATTCATAATATAAAATATAAATATTAGTTCAAGGTAAATATACAAATTAAATTTGATATGAATCTATTTCAATTTATTAGTTTTTAAATTCTAGAAGCAATTTTGATGATTTCTTAGCTGAAATCAATTTTTTTTCAGGTGAAGTTAAATTAGTGAATTTAGGGAAATGTAGATTTCCAATATTAGTAAGATATCCATAGAGTGATATTAATAATTTTGGATGTGTTTTATTTTCATAAGAAAAAAGAGCCTTTTAATATTTAAGAAATAGATAAATAAGATTTTTAGATTAATTAATTCTTATAACTCTTGGAGATTAACGTTTAACTATAGTTTCTAAATTTGTATCAATATATTGATATAAATTTAAATCACCATCTTAATTTAATCTTGGTTTGAATGAGACTCCTAAAATTTACTAGTTTAATAAATGTGATTAATACTTAAAATATTTCACAAGCCTAAGCCATAAAAGCAGGAATGAGTAAAAACTAACACACTAAAATATATAGCATAATAATAAAGGCAGCAAAATAATGTCCTTTTTAAACAAATCCTTTAGACAAACTACCATCCCAATCATCTAAAGTAAGAGTTTACAAATAAATAAGGAGTGTATCTAATAAATCAACTGATTCAAATTAATTATAGGAAGATTTAATTATTCCCATTATCATCAATGTTAATATAAGCATTAGAATATATGGAGAAAGAGAAGAGGATATAACTCTTATAGCAATATAACTAATATCTCTGATACTAGGATTTGTTAAGATTTTTAACATTATAAGGATTGGACTATATTTAACTTATTGAATAGTTATTACTTCAAATAGTGAATAACAAAAAGCAAGAGGCCCTGAAAGTACATGAAAGGCTAATTAAATATTTGAATAATATGAATTAAATGCTTCTACATCTTTCAATAATATTACTGCAATCCAATGCAAAGTATAAATTAATGAAACAAATATATAAAAGCATATATAATGAAAATCATTAATATTATTTAATTTATTCTACATATTTGCATATATTAATTGACATATCCATACTAATAATACTATTCTTGATTATTATTTTCCAAAAATAATTGAATAATATTTCAAAGGTAATAATTTTACTGATCTATGAGATATCGAATTTTCATCTATATCTACTTTTCCTTATTTAACTAACTCATCCAAAATCATTACATCTATTTAAAATGCTTAAATTAGAAACCAAAAAAACATTGCCAAAATTGTTATAAATGAAAATATCAAAATTATTACTGAAAGACCAGTTTTTGGTAATAATTGTTTAGTAATATCTCCCCATCCATCTATTGTTAATATTTATAACAAAGTAAAAGCACTTACTCCCAAATTTTTAAAATATTCTTTATTCACATCACAATAAAGAATTGTACATAAATATGTAAATACAAAATATATTACTAATGATGTAAATATTAAAGGCAAACTATTTACAAAAGTATTATAAACATCAGATAAATTTTACTTTTAAAAATTAGTTGCAAATAATTTTAATGATTTTAATATTATTGAAAACCAGCAAAATTAATTAAATTATATAAAATATGCTATGTTTAAAAATAATTAAACTGGACCACTTAGCAAATGTAAAATTATATTAATATGAAATTCATTTTCCATCCTCTTAACTCTAAATAAAATTAAAAATATTTATTTACTTGTAATAACTATCATATATATAATAAAGACTTGTAAAAAAATCTATGAAAAGTCCTATATACTTTTTATAATCATTATATCTAGATGAAAGCATATGTTCTAAATGAAGACAAATATTTATGATATAAGTGCCTATTATAATAAACAAGAGAGTTTCATTTTCTCCTTTCAATCTATATTTTGATGACAATGCTTCATTAATGACATCAATATTTGGTCTCAACTGTTTTTTATTTGATTCTACATTTCCACTATTTTCCAATTCAAATTCTTTTATAATCGAATCAGCCATTCTAGATTTAGCTGGAGTTTCAATGTCTGACAAAATCTCTGAATCACATTATTAGATAGTCCATTGATTCTAATCAGTTACTTAAGTTGGCTGTATTTATTTAGGATTGGCATATCTAAAAAAATCTTCGGTATCTGCGGAAGAACTATTCTTCTTCTTTAATAAGATTGTTTCTCTAAAATAATTATTCATTAATATAAGTAATCAGTTATTATTCAATTAGTTATTTAACTTTCTAAGTATGCTTTAATAATTTTGTTTTTTTATCCCTGACATTGTGTTGTCAAACCCTATATTATTTGTATTTTCTGTTCTTGATATATTATTATTTCTCACTACTGAAGCTCGTTATAATAATTTGAATTAACTTATCTTTTAGACTTAAAGGTTTATAGATATCTTTTTTCTACTGTCTAGTGTAAATGTCTCCAAATAGAATCTTTATTAGTTCTTGGAATACATTTGAAAGTTGACTTACTGAAATATTATATCAGCTAATACATATTTAAAATATCTTTTATTTTATAATTGAATTGTCCTTTATATATTTAATATTCTTCTATTTTTATTCAATTTAATCAACCATTACTGTTCGTAGACTATCGAGATGACTATGAAATTCGATTTTTAAATGACTGACGATAGAAACCAGATTTTATTTTTACTTTTTTATTGAGTAACTTTTGATTCTTTTATAAAGTTTCTTTTTGCTTTTTAATTTGTTTTCTTCTTTTGAATTAAAAAATTTATTTCTTTTACTAGATTCAATAATATTGAGATGAATTTTATTATTATTAATTTTCCTATTGTTTATTTCACTTTGTCTACTCTAATGACATGAGTAGCTCCTGTAGATCAATTATTAATCCCTACCATTCCATATATTTACAATTATGTATTTTTTACAAATAAAAATTACATAATTAATAATATATAAATTTAATCAATAAAGGCAATCAATCATCAATTTTGAATAATGAAATCATTTAAAAATAACAAAATTTTAGGGGAATATGATTTAAACAATTATTTTGTAATTCAACACTCAAAATTTTTCTAACTAAGAAATATCAAAGAAATTAAAAGAATTTTGTATTTAGGTTCAGGTGTAATATCTTAATAATTATTTATCAAAATTAATTGAACAAACAAAGTGATTTATATGTTATAAACTCATTCAGTTGAAATAGATGTCAAATTTGTTTTGGAATCAAAAGAATAGGATCAATCAATTGAATAGTTTGTATTTTTTTAATGAGTGCTGAAGAATTTAAAATTATCTAGAAATAATGGATTAATATATATCTTACAGATTTAGATTTTTATTAATATATCTTAAACATATTTATGGTGAATATAATTACTTAGAATTATTAAATCAAAAAAGGTGTTTAAAAATACATAAAAAAATTCAGATTACCAAATGAAATTTATATATATATTATTTCTTAGAAAATTAAGATAATGGATAGAAGAATTTATTTATATTAATTATTAAATTGTCTTTAGATATATTTCATGTCCAAAAAGGGTAAGAAAGGGAAAAAAGGAGAAGACAACGATGAATCCACAACTTAGATAATGAGATTTTATAACAGAAAGATCTAAAGTCTTGGAGTGGCATAAAATAAAATTTTTGTTTAGGCAGTTGCATAAGCATTAGAAAACCAAGAACATTTGACGACAGTAAATAATTATTCATTTAAATTAGCTTCACATAATTGAAGAAATAGGTCCTAATGCAATTAGAGGTATTTTCGAAGCTTTAATGGATCTAAAGTAAATAAATTAAATTATAAAATAGTTATAAACATTTGGCTAATATATGGTTGATCAAAGCAGGTTTGGGATTAAACAATAATGAAGGTGTCAAATATTTGGCTAATTATATTTAAAAAGCATAAAATACTAAAATTTTGGATTTGACTGAAAATGAAATTACACCTTAAGGTTGTACTTATCTAGGTTATGCCTTATCCCCTGCTTTCAAGGTTCCCTTATAAGAACTTGTACTTGATTTTAATTATATTGGATGTGAAGGAATGAAAGAATTAAGTAAAGGCTTGGAAATGAATAGTAATATTATTTTAACTATTCTTCAATAGCAACAATCAGAAAGCTTTCTTTAAATTATTGTCGATTAGATTTAGAGAGTGTTAAATATCTTTAAGACATTTTATCCTTTGTTGATTGTGATTTAAGATATTTATTTTTAGAGGGTAATTTTTTAAGAAATCAAGGGTATTTACATATTTATTTTTAGAGTTTATTAATTATTTAGGGCTCTTGAAACTAATGAATGGTTAGAGGAATTAAATATTGCAAATAATTAATTTGGAGAATCTGAAGATGTTCCTCTTATTGAAAAAATTTGTGAAGTATTAACCAAAAATATTTCAATATAAGTTTATGATTTTAGAGGAAATGCTTTATATGATGATTGTAATTCATATTTTTATTAAAATAGCTGCCAAAAAATTTTTAGAATGTATTAAAATGTACAAAACAGTCTGTAGACTAGAAGTTCCTATTGAAATTTAAAATGCAATTCTTGAAGAGATCAAAAAAGTTACAAAAAAAAGAAAAAGAAGAAAGAATAAAAAAAAAAAATCTAAAAAAAAAAAAAAAGCAAAAAAATGATTACCATTATCATTAATATTTAATTTTATTATATTTGTTTAATATTTGATTAAAATGTAATATACCTTACAATAGAAAATTCATAGAAGTGTTGATCAACTTTATGTGGATTGTCTTTAATTAAGATAATATTAGAAAGACTTAATTAAAAATGAAATTAAGAAGTTAGAAAGATTACTTTCAATTAGGTTGAAGACAATTATTGATTTTTTTTTTAAATTTCAAAGTCTTATCCCTTAAAGTTCCAAATTGTAACAAAAGGCAAAAAAATTCTAATGGATTAAAATTTATTTAAAAAGTCCTTTAATTTTAATGTATTAATTTGATGAAGATCTTATAACTTATGCTATTTATTATAGATTAAAAATCAAGATAAAGAATGAAGAATTTCAATTAAAGGAAAAACTCAATTTTCAATATGTCCATACTATAGTTTACGATTTTATTAGCTAAATAAATAATAAGTTCTGCGAATTTTTAAAGTTATCAGAATAATAATAACCTACAGAAAATAAACTTACATAAAATTAGATGATTTAATATGGCCTTAATCCTGAAGATATATTAGCAGATGATGAATTGTAAAAAATAATGCATTTCTTAAAGGAAATTCCACAAAATCAAATTGAAAAATATCTCTTATAAGTTATCAACTCTTAATTGGGAGTTTATAAGGATTATTATAAACCTATAATTATTGTTTAAGATCCCTTTCAAAACCCTATTTTTAATAACGGAGATTTTGGTGAGAAACCAAAATTTTAAAAAGAATAATTAAATATCAAATTTAATGAATATAATGAAACTTCTATTACCTAAAAGAAACCTGGTTTTTACATTTATAAAAATGAAAAGTCAATATTAATATTTATTATTTCTACATAGTAAAAAGTCAGAATTTATTCGATTAATAAATTTGATCACTATAAGGTAGTAAAAGATATTTTAAATCAATACTAAGAAATGAAAATCTATCAATTTCGAATGATTAAAATGAAATAAATAGAAGCCTTTTTAGTAGCTAACTTTATCTACAAGACTTAAATAAAAAATGTATAATTTATTGATAAAGTATTTGAATTTTATAGTAGCCCCCAAGTAAATCAAGTTCAAAATTATTATAGAAAATAATTTGAAAATCAGGAATAAATTAAAAATTCTGTTATTTAATTTATAAAAAAGTTCATTCCAACTTGTAATAATTATAATGATATTTATTCAGAATAATTCGTTGAAATATTGAATCAAAAATCCTAACATAAATTAAACTTATTACCTATAATAGATATTAATTAACCAAATATTGTGTAATAAAAAAAGTCTTAAGGATTAATTGTAAAAGCCAACAATTTGTTTGGAGTGATAATTATCGATCATAATAAAGAAATATATTTTTAAAATGAAAAAAATAACGATCTCAATATTTATTAGACTAATGTATAAAACATACCTTTAAAAGTAGCAAATTATTATATTTCTTTAATATTATCTAAAGCTTAAGATGGGAATAAAAGACTTATTAGAAATTTCTTAGAATAAAGATTCTCTGCATTAGAACCAATTTTATAATTAGTTAAATGAATAGATTGTTTTCATAAACTTAAATTTAGATAAAGAACTTTTAAAAATCTATTTTTAAAATTATTCTTAGAAAATAAAAATGAAGTTTAAGAAATAAGAATTATTATCCAAATAAAATAATAGTTTAATACAAACATTCATTTTGAGAATAGTTTGAGAAATTCTTAATACGAAATTTTTCCATCCTTATTATGATCTGTTTCTTATAGAAATAATTGCCAAACATCTTGATTTAATGTGCCCATAACATCTTCTAATTCTTGTTTTGTTATATATCCGTCACCATCTAAATCAAATATGCGAAATGCTTATTCAATTTTTTTTTAAGAAAGGATTTTAGTTTGATTGATAGAAGCCATTATGAATTCTATGTTTAAAAGATTAATATACCGCTATAATCAATTTATCCGGATAGATTTTTATCAATTTCTTCTAATATTCTTTCAGCTTATAATTCAGCTTACTCTTAATTCTTCATTATTCTTTTATATCCTTAAATAAGTTCTTCTTTACTAAGCACTCCATCTCTATTTGAATCTAAAGATTAAAATGTATGTTATAAATCTTCAATCTCTTTATGATTAGTCATTTAAGATATTATATATTAAACAATAGCAGTTCTAAATTCACTGGTTGCTTAAAATTGAGATAAATTATCTAACACTTTTTTATTTATGGATTAATTAGTTGTGTGTTTTTAAAACCAAGGATCATTTAAAACTTAAGATGCAGAATATCTGAGATTAACATCAATTGATATCATTTTTTAAATTAAATGTTTAGCCTCTTTTGATATAAATTCCCATTCCTCATCTAAATTATTATTAAAATAAATACTTGGAAATTTTACTCTGCCCAATTTAACTTTGTCAAATATTTCTTATTCAGTTTTTCCTGTAAATGGAGGATATCCACATAATAGAATATATAAAATAACTCCACATGACCAAATATCACATTTTTCTGTATAATTATGTCCTAAAACTTCAGGAGCGATATAAAAAGGCTTTAATAATTATTAATTTATACAGTGCCTAGTCTTTTTGTCATTTTCGATGTATTAAATCTACGAGAACATCCAAAATCAATAATTTTAAGATTTTGATCAGGTTCAGGACCTGAAAAAAGAATATTTTCTGGCTTTAAATCCCTATGAACAATTTTTTATTCATGACAATAATTAACTGCAAGTAATATTTATCGAATTAGTTCACTTGCTCTTTTTTCTGTAAAAATTTACATTTTCTTAATTCTCTCAAATAATTCTCCTCCAGATAAATATTCAGTAATCATGTAATAATTATTTTGATCTTGATATAATTCATATAGTTTGACAATATGAGGATGGTCAAGATTTTTTAATATATGCATTTCTTAAAATAATTTTTATTCATCCTCTTTAATTAATTCAGATTTTTTTATTTATTTCATCGCTCTTATTAAACCTAAATTAAATTTGATAACCTACCAGTTGTTTTATGAGTGACTTTCCATACTTTTCCAAATGCTCCTTATCCAAGTACTTAACCAAATGCATAGACTTTGTTTATTGAACCCTTCTTCAAATTAACAAATAACTCTACGCCCATTTTAAAAGTCAAAGAATTCATAGAACCTATAGATTTTTTAGTTGGACTACTACTAGAATCTTAAAGTTATCTACTTGTAGTATAAATACGAGGAGAAGTAAAAGTTGTATTATTATTATATTATTCTACTCCTAAGGATTCTTTTCTATTATTTTTTTTCAAAGGAGATGGAGATTGCTAAGGTAAATTAAAAGCAGAATCTGACTATATTGGACTTAATTGTAGTAAATTCGTTTCTTAATGATTAGGACTTCTGATTTCTTTATTATTTATATTCTGTAATTCACAATCAATTGATATTTTTCTTATTAGATTAATATCACCATTTGGTGTATTTTCTTCCCTATCAATTAAATCACTTTCTGCTTTGATAGACTCCAATTATAATAATTGAATCTATTTTTTCATCATTTCTAGTTTTGTAGGTGTCTGCGATTCCTTACCTAATGGAAGAGGAGCTACCATCTAACTTTATTCTTATTATGAAACACTCTATTTCTGTAGCATCAGTGTACTCTATCCTTATTCTAAGCACAATTCTTTACAGATTAAATAATCATCTTACCGTATGAAGAACTCTAGAATTTAGTATTACAACAGATTGAACCCATTTTTTGATATGTTGTTAACTTATTTAATTATTATCAATTTAAAACAATGTAAATAACAAGTATCATTTACCACTATAAATCAAAATCTTTTTGAATTAATATCTTTATTAAATTATACTTCTTTAAGAATTTATTTATATTAATAAACTTCTAGAACTAATTTTATTTCAATCAGCATTATTTGCTCTAAAGAATACTGCCTTACATTAAATTTTCTATTTTATATAAAATATTTCTAATTCAAGAAATAAATTCAAAACTATTACTTTGAGATAAAGTGAAATGCTTTGAATTCATTTAAATTGTTTTCTAGCTTCCTTCTCTGATTATTTAGGAGAAGAATTTATAAATGCAAAATAAATTTTTATACAAATTTACATTCCATTTATTAAATAATTATGTTGAGCTTTTCAAAAAAAAAATAATACCCAAAAACACAAGATGAATTATCAGGAATGCTGATCGCTAAGAATGCCCCAATAAGAAATTATTCAACATGTAATTCTATTTATTATGTTAATTCAGCAACAAGAAATTCAAGGATTTCCTATTAGACAAAATAATAATAATCTTAGAATTAAAGTGAAGATAAAGGAATTACTAGTAGAACTTTTTCTGTAAATGAGGTGACAGAATTACCATAAATATCAAAACCAACGAACATAATTCTTAAAAGACCTAAGTTTATTCCCAGACCAAAATAACAATTGAGAAAGTTAATTCATGCTTAAACATCACCTACGAATCTTGAATCAGAAAGAAAGTAATAGTAGTTAAATTAGATAGAGTAATTTAAATTCCCTATCATTCCAAACTATTAATTTGAATGTAGATGCAGAAGATGTTTATATATTATATAAAGGATTCAGGAATTTATGTTAATTCAATAAGATATGTATAATAAGTTATAGTCTTGTATATTTTCAATTTTATGATAGCTATTTGGTGAATATAACTGTCAATATTTTAGTAATACTTAAAATCCATAAATAAAGCCTTTAAACAATAAATAACTGATAATGAAAATTAGAACAGAATCTATTTTAGTCTTACAATTGAACCCAAATCAGAAACTTAATTCTTTACAAAGCACTTAAATTGATTGGTTTGATTGTATATACTCGACTAAAAATTATCATCCAAAAGAAACATTGAGTAGTGAACTCAACCGAAACAATCTATGGATCAATATCTCAAAGATTCAAAATCTATTTAAAATACAGCATAAAATTGTTAATTACTTTTATATTGATATCATTTATTGTGATCCATCTAATATTATTGAAGCTGATAATTTTATCAATAAGATATTATTAATTGATGATGAAAACATTAAATTATTTCATTTATTTGTATATGCACCAGCAAATCTCTAAATGGTTAATTAAAGATTGTAAGATATCTTTAGAAATGGCTCAGTTTAAGATTTGCAATAATTGAATTTAAAAGAAATGATTGAAAAAAATAATTTAGAAATGTAATTAGTTTAGATCAGAGCTAAGCAACTTAAATATTTAGAAGATCTTAAAATTAAGACTAAATAACACTTTAAAAAATTGAATTTTAATTCTTTTCCTTTGACCCCTGAATAAAGAGCAGAAAAGTAATATGAAAAAATATGATTAGAATGAGAAACTAAATTGTAGAGTATATTAAGAGTAATTCAAAAATAAAAATAGCTAACATGCATTTTGTTGTAGGTGATACTATAATGAGAAATATAGAAATGTTTAGAAATCATGAAAATGATAAATTCTACAGACATTAAGAAACTATTTAGTTAATTGATCATCTAATGAAAAATAGTTTACCAAACTTTTAGAATAATAATAGCAAAGCAAATTATGCATTCTATTGTTTATGATAATTACTTAATAAATTAAATCTTTTTTTAAAATATAAATAAAATGGTTAAAAACTCAGCCTAAGATCCATAAGATAACTCACTCTAAATGAAAGTAAAATATTAAATCATTTTTTGTGTAGACAAGATAATATTTGGTTTCTGGAAGAAGATTGCCATCAAAAGATGATCCAAATCCAAAGGTTATTAGTATGAGAATCTTTGCAAGAAATACAGTTGCTGCAAAAAGCAGATTCTGGTAAAGCATAAAAAAATGGTTAGGTGGAATTTAAGAAGATTGAATAAACTTAGACCATCTCATGGTTAGATCTTAGCAGTTTAAGAATTATTTGAAAGAAGAGATACAAATGTTAAAACTTATGGAATAGTACTTAAATACTAATCAAGAACAACAATTCATAATATGTATAAAGAATTTAGAGACACAACATTAAATGGTGCAGTCTCACAATTATGTAAATTATTGCATTTAAATTTTAGATTAAGAAATGGCAGGTAATCACAGAGCTTAACCATAAACTATTCACATTCTCAGAACTTCAGTCTTAACTAAAAGTGCTGATATCAAGAGAGGAAAAACTAATTAATATAGAGTATTAAATTAAAATATATTTAGGGGGACTCAATCAAATTCCCAATTGTTAAGACTGTTCCAAGAGCAAGTCACAAAAAATTCAGAACAGTGTTCAAGGCCAAAAGACCAAACCTCTATAGATCATGAACATCTTATATTAGTACAATATTAATCATATAATAATATTTAATTATACATATTTTATTCATTTCTATATATATTTAGAATTAAAAAAATCAAAAAAATTTAAAGTTTATATATATATATAAATATCAGAGATTCTAAAGACAAACGTTTGAAATAAAATAATAAACTTCCTGAAAATTGCTTCTTTCATCCTAATCAGAAAAGTCTTCAAATGAATCATCTCCAAATTCCATATCCTTAATGAAGTTTTGAGCTTATTCTACAGAAATTCTAAGTCTTGGATCAGGCTCTAACATTCTATCTAATAATTTTCGAAGTCCCACCTTCTTTCTTAAAGTTGAGATTGTGTTTTGACTAGACTGAAAAGCACTATGTTTATCAAAGATCGTTTTTTATAATGTCTTGCCAGTTAACCTAGAGTATCAAATTTAATTACATTTCATGAAATAATTCTCCAAGACAATATATATCCTATGCAAACCAAAATTACCTATCAAACTCTTCATTATTTTAATTCATCTCCATATTATTTGGTAATATCAACTCATTTATATTATCAATATCTTTTGTTCCTCTTTTAGTTCTCAAGACTTCTCCTAATTTTGTTATTTGTCCCAACTCAGTTAGAATAATTTTACCATCCTTCTAAATAAATATGTTATCTTAGGTTAACTCCCTACAAATGTATCCTTTTTTATGCAATGTGTTTAGAAGACTTAAAATTTACTTAATCAATTATCTACACTTATTACTTTTAGCACTACTATAATCTCCTCTTTTCTCATTTTATATTAAGAATTCAATCTCTCCCTTAAACTTCTTCCCTCTAAATACTCATAAATTATATGAAATTTATCATTTTCTACGAAATATTCCTAAACTGATATCAAGTTCTTATGTTAAAGGCTTAACACTTCTAATTCTAACATAAAATCCTATGTATAGGTTTTTAGTTTATACAAGCTTATTATAATTGATACTATTTGGTGTTACTTTCATTTAGTATTGTCTTTAATCTATACAGCTGTGGACTAACATTATCTATAATAAAATTCATTATTATTATCTTACTGCATTCTGAGATTGTTCTCGAATTGATTTTATGCTATTAAACATTTTGATAAGATTATTATAGGAGACTTTACCATCAAAAATACTTTTAAGTTATAAACACCCAGAATAATCCATAATCATTGTTTTCAGTTTTTATTTCCATCTAAACTTAAATCCAATGAAACGATTTCTATCTCCATAAACCCATGTAATTATTGTTGACAATTCTAATTTTATTGTGTATTTAATTTATTTTGCATTCTAATCATTTGTAATGAATGCTTACTTTTCCAATTTAAATTGAGTTCTCTTATTCATAAATTAAATATTCAGTATCTCTGAAGAAATGCTTACTTTTACACAACATTTTATTAATTTATATAAACTATATTATTCAGAATTGTTTCAAAGTTAAAAATATAGATGTGAGACTAATTAAAAAAGTTATTATATCTTATTTCTGTTATATTTAATTTCTCACTATTTAATTCTATAATGATAAGAGTTTAAATTATTTATTTGATTCTTGCTTTTATGATTTCTCTTATCTTATTATCAACCTAAATTTTTATTAATTGTTTTATCTTGAAATTAAACATAAACATTATTTTATAAAATGTTTGACTTCAATTAATTATTTACATATAAATTGAAAAAAGAAAAATACACTAAAATATGATCTAAAATAGGTGAATAATATGCAAATAAGTATATTATATAAATTTTAGAGAAACGTAATTAAAATGAATAACCCTAAAATATTATTAGAAGCTAAAGTATTAAATTTTATGATAGAATAATATTTAGAAACAATAGTCATAATTTTCTAATTAATTGTTTAAAGTCTGGTAATTTTTGGATTGGATCTTATGAACAATGTAATGAAGTAGATAAAGAAATATTTACTGGAATATTCATGAGTTAAATATAATTTAATGCTTATTTTGCATCAATTCTCTACTCAGGATCATCAATAAGCATTTTTGAAACTAATACCCTATAGTTTGGATCTTATATTCTTTAAAGAATTTGATTGTTTAGAGAAAACACCTTATTATTCTGATATAATTCTTAAGAATTTAATCCAGATATTAATTTTGATCCTGTTAACCTAAGATATTGATAAATTGATTACAAGTAGTAAATAATGGCTCCACAACTAAAAATATCTATTTTTTATGAAATCCTATATTAATTGGAGCGATTTATTATTTCTGGTGCCATATAACCAGGAGTTCCAAAATTCATATTTGAATCATTGTCTTAATTTATAATTTTGCAAGAAATCCCGAAATCTATGAGCTTTAAATTTGAAAACTATCCTAACTCACAAAAAAGTATGTTATCAGGTTTGATATCTCGATGAATAAATCCTTTTTCATGTAAATGAGAAATAGCCTCTAAAATTTACTAATTTTCAAATACAAACAATACCTTTATTATGATTTCTATTTGATCTATTTATAATTTGCAATATTTAAGACATTAACTTAGAGATCCTCCTCTCAAATATTCTAAAACTATTAAATAGGAGTTTTCATTTTCAAATGCCTCTATCAAATTTATAATATTTTGATGACTTATTTACTTCAAAATTTCAACTTCATTTTCAAATAACTAAGATTTTAATTATTATAATACTTTCTTAGAGTATGGTTTATGTTTATTTAACTCCTTACAAGCATAAACCTTATCATCATCTAATCCTTATATTTTACTTATCTAATAAACAAATATTCTACAATAAATACCAAACTTTGACCTCTACTCTCAATCTTCCCTATTGTTTTATAGAAAATATCAATATTTTTAAAAACTACTTTTCCACAAATATTATTCTTGACTCTAAGAAGTACATTATGGTCTGCATAAAAATATCTATGTTCATTCCTCCAATTTATACTAAATGCCTCCAATTGAAAATCTTCTTAGGAGACTTTCCAATCAATTTATGTTTCAAGTTTTAAAGGTATTGAATACTTCGTAAGTTATGTAGACTATTTTAATATCCAATAAAATACTTCTCCAATATTCATACTATCTTGATTAAAAGTGATTAAGTAACTTTTATCAAATAAAAGATGCTTTCTTGTACAATACATCAAAAAGATTATTAATGAAATAAGAAAGAAAGATTTTCTGTTTAAAAATGAAAAATTAGCTAAATTCATAATATCTTGGTAGAGTATGTTATTGGGTCCTTAAAATGAATTAAAATTTTGTAATTTTTTAGAACAAAAATCATACAATTGAAGCCACATTACTCTAACTGATGACCTGTAATTAATTAATAATTTTTTCTAATAATCGTTTTATAAAATCAATTTATTAAATATAATTAAAATACTAAAATATATAAAAGAATTATAATCAAGGAGATATTAAATGTAATTATAAGCAATTTTCTATTTTTTCATTCAAAAACTTACATCTACTAATGGTAGCACATTATTAGGATATTATATAATATTTAAATTATAAAATATTAATTATCAATTTTCAATTTAATATTCATATTTATTAGAAATACTAACCTAATTTATCAAATTCTATATAGGCAAGAATTTAGTTTTAATAGATATTACTTAATTTATGTATTTTATCTGCCAGTCTAAATCAAGTAATTAGCAATAATAATATAAGAAGAAATACAATTATATTTTTAATTAATTTAATTCTAGTCGAGATTTAATAGAAAAACAAAAATAAATAACAATAAGAGAATTGTTTTATAAATTTATGTCAACAAGAAGAAAATTAATTAAAAATTGAATATAACTTTAAATACAAAATGGCATATTTTAGTTAAATCATCAATGTCCATAATGACCATCAGCAATATATCCAAACTCATCTTATTAGTATAAGATTTTTTTAGTTTTGTGATTCTGATTTTCATCACTTTTTTATTTTTAATTCCATTCAGCTAATGCCTTATGTCTTGTTACTGGATTTTCTCTATCATAATCAGTATCGAAGCCAGCACTTCCTTCTGCATATGGTTTTATCTAATTATAGAATAGAAATACTTCTTCATTGTTTTCAACAGGAAAAAGATACTCAGATAAATCTTCCATTGGTAATTGTTGATATATTATAGCCATAATGATTAAAAGAATATCGATTTTACTAACTTCATGGAAGAAAGTGTATGTCATAATCATTTCACCGAATGCACACCATGGAATAATATATTCAAGCATTTCAATCATTTCTAAATAATGAAAATAAATGAATACCTGTTGATAATTAAATACTAATAGATTCTTTAACAGTTCTTCTTCTTAAGATATTATAATAATCAACAAAATAATAAATTAGAATACCAAAAGCACTAAATAAAGTACCTAAAGGAATGGCTGTACCATACATAAAAGTGAACCACATAGTCTTCATAACATCTGAATATCTTTTTGCTGATAAATAATCTGGTTCTTCCATAAGTTTATTGGCTTCCTATTATGTTAACAAAGCTTTTTCTCCTTTTGACATAATATGTTTTCTCCAAATATTCTTACACAAACTCCATGGATCAATGCACCAAATAAATGGAGGAAATATTGCATTAAGTACAAAAATCTGGCTTTCATTTTAAATAAATCCTCCAGCTCCTTTTACATTTTTCAATATTACAATATCTACTAGAAAACTTATAATAGCTGCATTTAAAAATAAAGCAAGAGCATATTTATATACAAATTATATCTAAAATTTTGTTTTATTTGAAATTTTCTCATCATCCACAATATAATGTACTATCTTAGCTACACCGAATTTATTAAATAATACGATTAACATAGATATACTAAAAGACATTATATTAATCTTTCTTTTAGTATCTTAATCTAATTTTCCTTTTAGTTCTTCTTCATGTGCTTCATCTCCCAAAAGTGCTAGTCTATGAGAAATTAAATATATAATAAAGAAAGCTGCACTTTCAAATAATATATAATAAATCCAAGCTCTTACTCTTTTGAAAATCTTTTCATTTGTTGTTATATGAATGAATTCCCAATCAACATCATTTGGTTCTGGAGCTTATTCTAAAAATAATTTTTATCCTTTCCATTATAAATCGTTATTACTTAAACCTTCTAATTAACCCCTATTCAAATGAGATTTCATTCTTTCACTAGAAGTATGAGGGTTATCTTATAATACCAATTATTTCATCGATTCATCATCAAAAGAAACAAATGCTATACCTGAAAATTTAGTATTATGAAGTTCATATTCTTCCTCAATTTTATGTATTTGATGTTCAAGATGTTCAATTTCTTCATCTATTTTTAAAACATTTTAATGATGAAAATCATAATTATGCTCTTGAATTGCTTCTTTCTTTTTTTCTATTAAATTATCTAACTTTTTCTCTAATTCAATGATTTCTTCAATATCATATACTAATACTACTTTTCTAACAATTATTTATTTAGAACTATCTAATACTGCATAATTTTAAAATATATTTGTTAATTCTGCTTTGTAATCAACAGATAAACCAGTTGGAATATTTTTAACACAAATAGTATAATCTGCAGGTGTTAATTATTCTTCATCAATTGTAGTATCAATTTACCTTTGACTTTTTCTGAAGTAAAGAAGTACAAACATGATAATAAAGATGCTTATAAAATTTAAAACTTGCATAGTTTCAAGGGCTTCCCGATTACTAATTTAGGTATTTTCTATTACTCTAATTTATTAGCCAAAGATAATCTTAAGAAAATACTATCTGGACAATATGGTTCTTCAATAATGTGTCCTTCCATTCTTTCTCTTTTCATATGACTACAATAAGATCCTTCATAGTTTGTATATAAATTATGAATTTGTTTGACTAATAATTAAATAAAGAGTATTATTATGCAATATTTTAAGTAGTTGTAAAACAATGTAAAGCCAGATCCTAAAAATGATAAAGCCATAGGATCTGAACAATAGGGTATATCTTCTCTATCCACTTCAAACCCACAACAAGGACACGTTTCAACTAATGGTTAATTAGTCTAAATTTACCTTATTATGTTCTTGTGGGATCCTTAGTCCTTTCTTTTGCTGTCCTTCTTGATAATGCATGTTTTCTTGCAATCTCCCAATCACAAGGCATTTAAAGGGGATTGTAATGACCTTCATGATGATTATCGATAGAATGATGTTAATCATGCGATGTTTCATGATGTCTAACATTTTGACTATTACTAATACGATGTTCATAAGACATATCATTTTAAGAAAATTGATGATGAGATACTTTAGCTTATTGAATCTTATCTATATAATCTACATTTTACTTATGTTATCCTTTCTATCTCATGATTCGATTTTTATTGTTACTAATTAAATATTTTAAAAATTTACTCTCTAATGACTTTATTAACCGTATTCTCCTTAAAACATATTTTTTTCTCTTATATTTTAGTAGTTCAAAGCTTAATTTTAGTGTTGAACCTAGTAACTCATTTATTTTTAAATTATTTTTATTTTTAGATCTGCATAGGAAATTATAAATATTTCCAATCAAATTTCTCAGATTTTAAGAATTTTTAATATATTATATAGATATATATTCAATTCTAAATTTCTCAATATATTTCTTATATTTCTTAAGATTCTTATTACTAGATTCTTTTTGATAAGGTTTCCACTCCTCGAAATGTAAAAGCAAGGTTTTCAAGGGTGTGAAATATTGGTAATTTATTTTTTTACATATATTGGCATCCTTATTATATTTTATTTTCTAACAAAAGAATTTATGCTTTTAATGATTATATCCAAAAAATCAACAATATTACTATTATTTAATATATAGATAAAAATTACTTCCAAATAGAAATAAAATTGAAAAGATGATAACTAAGACTTGATTCATTTGATCCTCCAAAGATGTTTGAAATTCTACACTGAATTATAAATTCTATATTTTAGTTTAATCTCTATAATTAATTCCATAATCATATATTTATGGACATGCTTCATTATCATCACAAAAACAGAGTATCTTAGGATGAGAAATGCTCAGTTATACTTTGATCAATTTTGTATTTGTAATCACATATGCCAAAGATGAGTTTACTACAGAAATTTGCTATAATCCCAAAATTTGTATATTTTATATTTCTTAAGAATTATAAAGATAGATTTTATGATTATTCTTAGACTATATAAACATCATGTCTCCCATATTCACTAATTTTAATATTTTATTATCTTCTTGTACAATTTCTCCTATTGAAATACTGTTATCAATGAAATTTATTTTGAAATTCAAAATCTTATACACATGAGTAAAATACAATCCAAAACAGTTATTATATTCATTACAAAAAAATGATTTTGGATTTTACAGAGGGTTAACTTCTGCAGAAATAATTTTAGAATTGATATTATTATATCTTAAAAGCAACTTTAATATGTTTAGTCCATAAATTTAGTCCATCAAATATAAGTAATATTTTTTATCTTCAATTTTTTTTATATCAAAGTCAATAATATTTTGAAATTTAGTTATATCAATTTATCCAAAATATTTGTTTGTATTATTTTAAAGATCATAAATATAAATGAATTTGTTCAATATAAATAGAAATCCATCATATAACTTAATAGTACCAGGATAGAAAGTAATTTAAGGATCATTTAATAACTGATAATCAATCAAGAAAATAGGGTTTTCACTTTTATCATTGTAAAAACCTTTGAATTAGCTATAATGACCTTAAATTTTTTTCTAATTAATTATTATTCCATCATGTGTTAATTCTGCCAAAATCATATCATTCATTAGTACCCAAATACAATTTTAAGCTGCTAACAAATAATAGTATTTATTCATAATATCAAGTTCTTAATAGTTCATAAGAGATGATTTTTTTAAAAAGACTTTTTCATCATCAATCCAACAAAACTCTTAATTACTTTCCTCTGATAGAGTTACATTTGTAGCATTATTTAATTCTAGCACTGTTTTTAACTAACCAATTTCTACCTTAAATTCATATTAATTGCAAAAGACTCCTAAGCTCAGTGTCAGTGACAGTAAGAATAATTCAATCATTAATTAATATTTCTAATTCCAAATTTTTATTTCATTTTTAAATGAAATTCATCAGGGCAAAGAATTTTTAGATAATTTATATATATAAATTTAAGAATATGAGCATATTAAGTTTTATTAAAATACTCTATTATAATAAATCTTATCAATTTATTAATTCAAATCTAATAAGCTTTAATAGAGTTTCTCCTTTAACCCATAGAAATCTATTTTTCTAAATTCTAAATTTATCTTTTATATTTGTGAATCTAATAAAAAAATGCACTCACTAAATATTTTCATTAAAATAAATACATAATAGAAACAAAATTATAGCTATTACAATTTAAAAATCTTCAATTTAGTATTCTGAATCATCGGTTTCAAGTAATTCAATTGTAAAGTTGAAAATTGTTTATGTTATAATCTAATCAATTTCATTATTTGTTTCTAGTATCTATGATGTGTTAGTAATTAATTGATAAAATTGAGTTTCTTATATTCTATTTATAATAAATTTAATAAAATTACTCTCTTTATTCAGGATTGCACATTATTTGAAATGGTTGAATATAGAATTTTGCCAAGAGTAAACTTGTTGATGTTATTCCAATAAAAAAATCAAAACTCTTCATTATAGAATTAATTTCACTAAATGATGAAAACATTTCAAAATCTCTAAGACCAATATATGAAAAGACTGGGATTCTAAGTTTAATAAAATTTTACATATTTGAATTTAATTAAAAGATATCTGAACGAAATATTATTTTGTGATGATTATTTCCTTATAAAATTGCAAAATCATCAGTAGCATCTATACTTTTAATTTCATTTCTTGTTATATAAGAATTTAATTCAAAACAGATAGATTAATTCAAAGAGATATAGTATTCGATAACATAATATAAATGAGTAATTGAGTAAGCTACAAACACATTTAAACCATTTTTAGTATCAATTGATATACCTTAACCTTTAGGTTTAATTTATGTTAATAATTAAAATGTAAAATCATAATTGATAATTTTAATTTCTATAACATAAACATTCCCATTTACATCTAAAAAGAAACATTTATAAATAAAATCTTTTAGATTGATTAAGGTAAAATCTTTCAAATTAAATTATTCTAGTTATAAACTTGAATAGTTTAGATTCCCTAATAATCTTAGTGAATTAGAAGTTGATCGATATATATCTATTCCATTTTCTCCAACACATGTGAATATTAAATCATTTATAGATTTAGTTAATCCTCGACTTGGTCTTGAGATCCAATCCCCGACACTTATAATTTATAAATTTGATTCTTCAGTTTTAGTTTATTATAGATTTATAAGATATGCAGATGATGGAAATACTATCAAAGTTGAATTTAAAGGAGCACAAAAGATAATTTAAGCAAATTCTGAAATTTATGAAAAATTTTAGATGATAGGTTTAAAATCTGCTGTCCAAATCTTTTTTGCAAATAAATTAGTATTATTAGATTAAATTGCATTATAGTTTAATTCAAATTAATAGAGAATGAAATCAGTTGTTAACACAATTATTCCATTTTAAATTTAGGTCATACAAATAAACTATTTTAAATTAAATGGATATACTTGATCATCAACTTATCTAGTTTATAATATTTGATTACTCATATATTTAATGATTTTCAAGTATTTGAAGTTATTTTTAATAAATAGCTATATTTTTTTGAGATAATTTGCAAAAAGGATCTGAATGATTTGTATATAATTAAGCATCTATAACATTAGGGAATTTCAAAAATGCTTTCTCTTCATTTAAATGTAAATGATAGTTTTTAGTGTTATTGATATTTGATATTAGCTTAGTTGTTTAAGAATTCAGTATAGGTAATAAAGCTAAGATTATCAAATACATAAAAAAAATTACAAAGAAATTTTTATAAATAATAATTATGTAATAAGAATTCAAATTACCATAAAAGATAATAGAGTTATATGCTAAATATTAGAATAAATCATAAAAAGTGAAAAAATTCTAACTTTAAGAGCATACATTTATGTTAGAAGATAATTATTCTCCAGCAGAGATAAGTAATAATAATTAATAAAATATAAAGTTGGAAGTGGTGCTTATGGATGTGTTATATAAGCTGATGATAAGAATGCAAAAACAGAAAAGGACAGATAAGTGGCAATAAAAAAAATAGAAAGAGCTTTTGAACATAGATTATATGCAAAAAGAACATTGAGAGAGTTAAAGATACTCAGATTAATGAGACATGAGAATGTAAAGTATCCAGAATAAATTAGATTGTTGAATTAAAAACTCTACTATTACCAAAATCAAGAGAAGAATTTGAAGATGTTTATATGGTTACAGAATTATTAGAAACAGACTTAGCATAAGTAATCAAGAGTGACTAAGTTTTAACAGATGAACATATCTAATTATTTTTATATTAAATATTGAGAGGATTAAAATATTTACATACAGCAGGAATATTGCATCGTGATTTAGTATCTTTTTATTAAAAAATTAATTTAGAAACCAAGAAATTTATTATTAAATAGAAATTGTGATCTCAAAATCTGTGATTTCGGTTTAGGCAGAGCAATGGCTGATCCAACATCATCAAATAATGCCAATATTATGACATATTATGTTGAAACTAGATGGTATAGAGCACCTGAATTGTTAGTGAGTTTTAAGAATTATACTCCTGCTGTTGATATGTGGTCAGTTGGATGTATTTTGGCAGAGTTATTATTAAGAAAACCTTTCTTAAGAGGTGATTCAAGTATTTTTTATTAAACTAACTAAGCTAAACGATAAGTTAAATTAATTTTTGAATTATTAGGAACTCCTAATGATAATTATATTTAATCATTTTAAGATGAAAAAGTTTAAAATAATTTAAGGAAAGTTATTAAAGAAACTGGACCAAAATAAGGAATTCCTTTAGAATAATTATTTAAAAATGCTTCTAAAAATGGTATTAGTTTGATATTACAATTAAAGCTTTGGATTTATTAAGAAAACTATTAACATTTGATTATCATTAAAGAATTACAGTTTAATAAGCTTTAGAGCATCCATATTTGGCATAATTACATTTTGAAGCAGATGAACCAAGTGCTTAATTAGTAAATCAATTAGAATTTGAATTTGAAAAATACGAAATGACAAGAGAATAAATAAAAGGTAAAAAATAACCCTAATCTTATTAGATCTTCTTTATGAAGAAATTTTATTGTATCATTTTCCAGATTTCTAAACATCTTATGAGGCAAAGAAAAAAAGTGGATAAAGTTTAATATCTCACATAGTAAATAATGAAAATGCAAAAATAGTAAATTTATTTTTCTAAATAATAATAGTTTGATCCAACAGCAGATGATGATCTAGATAGAGATTGAAATATATTTCATTCAAAATTATGGTATTTTTATTGTCAAATTATAAAATTATATCAATAGTTTAATAATTTCTTGTTTTCAACTTTTATAATTGTGTTTTTTAATTCCTTTTTCTTAATTTTTTCTTAATATATATTAATAATGAAAATAGAAATGTAAAAATTTTCAATGAATTATTTTATACAAATTCTAATCCTTATTTTCTTTTAGCTGTTGATATAAAATATCTATCGAGGAGTTTAAAAGTTATTAAGAAAAAAATATCAGTATCTAAATAAAATAATATTTATAAAAGTAAAAAGAAAACTTAATAGTCTAAAAAAAAATGATATTGAGTTTTATTAATATGTGTTAAAACTTTTAATTATTTTTTTAGTTGTAGAATTATAAAAGCAATTAAAGAAGGAGTTGAAATAGGGATATAAAAAGATAAATGTAGATTAGTATATAAAAATGAAGGATAATAATATAAAATAGATAGATCTAGAGAAATGTATCGATAATAAAGGATTAAATAATAATAATGATAAGTTTAATAAAAGGATTTTGGCAGAAATATTTTGATCCTCCAAATTATAAAATATTAATAGTAGGAATAGATGGAGCAGGAAAGACAGTAAGAAATAATATATAATTTTAGACATTATTAAATAAATTAAAGCAATTGGCTAAACTTTCATATATACAATTTGATAAAATACCAAAAACAGTAGGTCTGAATATTGCAGAGATTGATTACATGAATAGGAACAAATCGTTGAATAGAAAATATAAAGTAACTTATTGGGACTTAGGAGGGTCTTAAACTTAGAGAAGCATTTGGAAGAAATACTATGGAGAATGTCATGGTATAATATTTGTAGTAGATGGAAAGAAATAGGAGAGATGGGATGAAGTGAGAAAGTGCTTTAAGTATAGTTTAGTAGTGATATATTGGTGAGGTGTTAGGAGATAAATCGCATGATGAAGTTCCGATATTAGTATTAGTGAATAGAGGATAAGATGGAGAGAATGGAATTAATAAAAGAATAAAAGAGTTAATATAAAATAGGAGTGATAGATTTTTAACAATATAGGAAGTGAATATCATAGAGAAGTATGAATGAAATATAAAATAGTACAAACGTAGTTGAATCTGTAAAGTTGTTACATAATGAGATTGGGCAGTTATTTGAGTAATACAATTGACGTGTTTTGATATATAGATAATTCCATAGATATATATATATATTATATGATCAAAGGAATTATGGTAATGGTATGTCAAGACATTTAGGACCAGCTATGAAATTACTCATAGCATAGGTTTCTTGATCACTGAACTTTCGTGATTTTCTCCTATTTTTTGTTTAGGATATCACTTAGATCAGATCACCATTAAGTACAACCTAGAGTTCACCACAAGGTTCTTTTCCTTTAGGACAATAGTAGACAGGACTTAGATTTTCTAAGCGTTGACTGCTATCGGTAGAACAATTAGAATCAATATTTAATTCTTCAATATTAGAAAGCGGATTCTAAAATCATATATATATATTATACCTTATGTTTCGAAGGTGGTGTGATATAGAATTATTCTCGTTCTTTATTTTTAGGAACGAAGAGACACTTAGAGCTGTTGACAGTCTAAGACTTTTTATACACTCTATATTTGGTACTGCTCACTAAGAATTAAAACCAAATATCATACTTTGTTCAATCTGGGAGAATACTTGTGATTTAAAAAGCTGGTAAGGGCTTTTTTTTAAATTTTTATTTAATTATTAATATAACATTGCCCGCTGTTTTAATAAATATTCATCATTCATCCCCCATTCTAGGTTACGTGTCCATCCCATTTAATCTATCTTTATATACTTCAAGTAAGAATTTATAATCTATTCGTCCATTCTTTTTAGACCAAGATATTAATTATGGCCATTATTCATCTCTTACTACTATACCTTATGATCTTAGCATTTTATCCATTTCTTATTTTATTAACTAATATATCTAATTAAATAATTTACATCCTCAGTTAATGGAATTTGACCATTCTAAGTTAAGTGTTTAAATATTTCAAGAAGATATTTTCTATTCTTTCCTATTGCATTTATTGTTCTATCGAATTCTTTTGAACTCTCCCAAATACCATTTTCTAATTATTATTTTATATCAAATTACCAACATATTATAATGCTGTTTATTTTACTTCTGGTTTTCTTAAAAAAGTCTTAAATTTATTTGTTGCATTTATTAATCCATCATCTGTTAAACCTTCATATTATTATGGAGATTAAACACTATGTTTTGTCATCCATCCTTTATCAGTTTAAGCCATTAATGATTTTTATGATGATTTTTTCATTCTTACATTTGCACTCATCGGTCTTTTTAATATTTTATATAATCATACCTTTTCTTTTCATTAGGATTTGAAAATTTAGAAAATGCATCCATCCATTCTGTTAAATCAAGTAAACCATCTCTTCTTTTATCTATAAATTCAAATAAATCTTTTATTATTGCAAATGGAGGAATATCTTCTGTCGCCAATCTATATAACATTTCTATCATATCCTTAAATTTATCAAAACTTAAATATCCTGTATGTTAAGCATCTATCTATCTAAATGCATCTTTTGGAGATAATAAATAATGATATATATGATCATTCACTCTTTATAAATGAATTGCTGCTCTCTCTAATATTTTATTATCTGCTTATCTAAAATCTAATCTCTTAGCAAAATCTCTCCAATTCACCATACTATTTCTATCCGTATCAAGCATTGCTGATAATATATCAATATCTTAAAATGTTAAACCCATATTCAAACTTCTTATTACTTAACGAAATTCCAAATTTGTTATAAACCCCGTATTATCTGCATCATATTATTTAAATAATTCTGTTATATTTTTATTTGAATTTCTTAAAAACCTTCTAATTTTATCTAACAAATTTATATTTACTTAATTTCTCTCATCAATTGGTAACTCACTTAAACCTCTATTAAAATATTAATAAATTCATATTACCCTTGAGTCATAGGTCTTATAACTTATTGTTATTATTAATATTCTGGAAGTTCATAAACCTTTGCACCTTTTCCAAATATCAATGCAAATGCATGATTACTTAAAGCTCCGTTCTTCTAAACTCTTGTCCATAAAGTTTCTATATCACCTTCTACAAATCTTTTTGGAAATAAAGCCTATAAAGCTTTAAAAAAACTCTCTCTAGTTATTACATGACTATGCTCCATTTAAAAATAATGGATAGCATTTTAAATACTTGAAAAATAAGTTAAAAGAGCATCTTAAATTTCTTTAATCATTTAATCTTACCAATTATATTATGCAAATGCATTTAACCAATCAGATTCTACTAAATATCCCTTTTTATGAGAATCGAGATCTGAAAATATCTCATACACTAACTTTTCAGTTAAATCAAATCCTGAAAGAACATTCTTCTCATCTATCCATTTCTTAAATTTCTAAAATACCAATTTCTTACGATATCCTGATACAATATCAAAAGACTCTTTTACACTAGGATAATGTCTACTTATTATCAATCCTATTTATTATCTAGCATTCATTTTCCAATCAAATGATGATCTTGATTCTTATTATTATTTTGCAGATAAATTTATTGTTTATCCAAATATTTACTTATTTTTACCATAGAAAAATCCTTCTTCTACAAATCTTCGAAAATCCATTAGTGTAATTTTTCCTCTTTTGTATTAATCCATTAATTTATATAGTCTATTGATTTTAGCTTCAGTAATTTCTTTTTCTTCAATTTTTAAGATATCTTTGAGAAATGTTTTTAAATCAGCTTTGTTAATTTAACCATCAAAATCTTTATCAAAAGTTCTAAAAGCATCTTCAATAGTAATATTTTCCCTTTAACACCAATTTCTAATTTTGAATAAGATTTCCAATTCCCAATCCCAATCATCTTCTGGTAGAGATGGCATTTATTAAATAATTGACTTACTCAAAAACTTAAGAAAAGTATTTAAATCTATCAAACCAATTTTCTATTTATCCATAAAGGCAAAGAAGCCATCTTTTGCTGGTTAACTTAAAGTCATAATTTTATCAATATTATAAAATTCACTTATGGATAAGAATCCATTATGATCAGTATCTAAAAATGTAAATAGTTCTTCATATGACATTCCTTTTCTATTTAATTTAATTCTTAAATCTTTTAGAATTTAATCAAATTTGGATTCTGGCAATTCTTCAACAGGGAATAAACTTTTTTATTAATTCATTCCATCAACCAAAGATTGAAACATCTTTTTTTATCCCATAGTTATTAGATCAATAGATTTAGATTAAACACAAGTTTTTTCAATTGCTGATAAATTATCTGTAAATTATGGTTTAATTTTTAAACTTTCAACAATTTGTTCAATTTAAGATTAATCTTTTCGTACATTAAAATATGAATATCTTTTTATGAATATATTCATATCTTCATCACTAACAACACCATTTCCATCTACATCCATTTCTCTACAATATTCTAAACATTCATCATGAGATAATTAAGTAAAAAGGTTTTTTTCTAAATATTATGCATTAGACTCAATATTGCAAGAACCATAACCTGATTTTACTTATTATAAAAATTATATAACCGTAAATTTCTTTTAAGTTAAATATTTACTGATTTTTTAAGCAAAATCAACAAGATCCTTAGCAGTATCCTTCTAATCCATTTATTTATTAACATCCATAATCATTTGTATGAAATCATAATAATTAATTAATGAGTCTCTATTTTTAGGAAGATATCTAACTAATCTATTAATGTCTTAAACATTTAATCCTAATGAACTTTCCATCAAAACAGTCTTAAAATTTGCAGTATCTAGATTACCTTCTTAATGTTCATCGAAATATTCAAAAGAAGACCTTAAAATTTTCATTTTTTATGGATCAACTAAATGATCTCTCATTTTATGTAATGTATCTTTAAACCAAGACAAATCATACATTTTATCATCCTCTTCAACAGTATTAAATAATGCTAATAAATCACTCATACTAATCATTTCTTTTCCATCCAAAATTTCTTTTGCTACTTTAAGTGCTTTATGTTAATTTAGAGATTCATCTAAATGCATCAAAGCAAATTTTAATTATTACAAATTAATTGGAGAATGATCACGATTCAAATTCATTCTTTATAACAAATCATCAGTGTGAATTTAAAATTTATATACAACATCCTTTATATAATTAACATGAGATTCTATTAAATTTTAAATCTTAAAATAATACTTTTATCAACAATAGCTTTGAGCCAATCAAATTTATCAATAAATCCATCATTATTTACATCTAAAGTTTAAAATAACGTAATTATTTAAACTTCATTTAGAGGTAAATCTATTTTATTAACAGCTCTTTTAAAATCATCGAAATTCATCCTAATTTTTCTTTCATTTGTTTTTCCAAATGCTTATTAACAGAGATCTAAAAATGACTAAATAATATAATTTTTAGATAATTACATCTTCAATATTTAATGCATGATCTCTAATATAATATTTTAATCTTTCTAAACCATATACTTTATCATTAACTGATCGTTAGAATCCCATTCTAGATATCTATTGAGTTGAAGGTCTTAATTCAATCTATAAAGATTATTAATCAATAAATTATACAGTTCTACTCATGAGTCCTCCCTTTTTATTAGAAACTTATGAGTTTTTAGCAGTTTTTGGTCTTGTATCAGGTAATTCAATTCCAAGAGAATTTGTTAAATAATTCCTGGCACCATCATCAATTATAAGATTGCTTTCTTCAGGATGCTAACTCTTGCTTAATTATTAAAGGTATTGTTATGTTAATCTCATATCTCCTTTTGATTTTCTTTCAGATAAAGGTCTTTTTGTTATTTCCTAAAAACAAAATATAGATCCAATAATTTTACTTTACAATTTTCCATAAGAGATTCTAAGAATTATACTGCTGCACAACGAGATTTAACAAAGAATGTTCCAATACATGGAATTTCTACTTCAACTACATCCTTCTATAATATTATTACATTTATATTTGTACATTTCGAACAATATCTGATAATGATTTAATTACTCTTTCAACAGCCATTTTAGCTGAATCCTTATTTTAAGATGCATATAATGCAATTTCTGCCCAATTTACAATAGCATGTTAAATCTTGCCAGATGTCTAAACTTTGTAAGGCCTTAATTATCTACCTATTGCTATAGCAGTTTTTAGATTGAATCCATTAACAAATTCCTTACATTAATTTAATCAACTACCTTAGCTACAAGAAAAACTGGTTAACGTGGCTATTTATCTCTTTCTACTGGATTAGTAACTCCATCCAATATAACATCTGGAGCACTAAAAGAAAATGTTCCAAATTTGTTCACTGCAACTCCTCTTCCCATTCGCAATTATCTTGAAACATGAAGTCCTTTACAATATTTATTTTCTTATTACCGAATGCATTCCAAGCAGCAGAGACAGTTTCCTCATCTAAAGCCGCTATCAATGACCCATTGCTAACATATAACTCTATATGCTTACTCTGCTTATCCATTTCGAGTCGCTATTTTAGAGATTATTGATTATGCATTCATTGTTGCTTTGCTCTAATAACTATCAATGCTATTCATTTAATTTATTTATATATAATGTTATCTTTCATATTAATTTATATCTAATCTCAACTAACCTCATTCTTTATATTTTCTATAAATCTCCATTTCTTTAAATCATAACATTTCAATCAAAGAATCCTTTTCAATCTATTTCTAAATTACCATCTTATTCACACACATTTTCACTTTTAAATTTTATTCCATCTGTACATAAATAATACTTATGAGTTAGAGTACAAGATATATTCTAAATCAATTTTTTTGCTTGATTAAAACTGAATATAAATTTCTTTCTTTTAAATTTTTTATTTTTTTCAATTAAAGCTATTTTTTAAGAAATAAAGAAATATTTTAAATCAAAAACTGATTTATTATTTTGGTTCTTTAAATTTTAATTGAGTAATTTATCTCAAAAATTTTGAAGTACCTTAGTACTTATTTTCTAAACTATTAACTTTTTAGCTAGAAAGATATTAATCTTTATTTTATTTAGAAATTAAGTATTTACTGATGAACTAATATTTGTTTGAGAATGTGATGCACTATTAATTATTAATTCTTTAATTGATTAAATTATCAATTCATAATAGTATATTATTAAAATAATATTTTTTTAAAAGTAAATAAACGGAATTTTTGATTAGATTCCTATAATTCATTTTATTATTAATTTCGAATTTTTATTATTTATCTATTTAATTTTAAATTCTTTTAGCAAAAAAGAAATGTTTGAAAAAATCTAACTTAATAAAATTCAGTTATTTTTTTAAAATCGCTATTATAAATTAAAAGTAAACTATAGAGATTTAAAGGTAAAAGATGTTTATGGAAAATTGCAAATTTTTATTAATATTTGAATTTATACCTTTTTTTAATGATAGATGCCATTCTGCTAAGACATTAAGGTGGTTTGTAGATTGACTTTTATATTCTTTATCAAAGAGTTTGTAAAGTTTTGTTCATTATAATTCTATCATGTTTTAATGGAGAACTAATATTCCTAACAAAATCATTAATCATTTCTATATTAGAATAACAAGAGAAACTCTATATAATTATATTGGTGGTTTCATACATATTTAAATATTAACAAATTAAGAAAATATTATTTGAAGATATAGATTAAGCAAATTTTTATGTAATGGTATTTTATATTTAATATTTCAAATCTTTTCTTTCCCTTAAATATCTTGTGCCTGAGGTTTCAATTATACAAAATTATGGTTATTGCACTTTGTACACTTGATAATGGAGGATACTTTTAATTATCATAGCCAATTACTTCCTTATTAATATTTAACAGTCACTTTACAATGGGAACATTTTAAAAAATCATATTTTGGCTGTTATACATTTCGACATTGATAACACATAAAGGGTTTTTAATCATTTTAAATGGTTTATGGAGTCTTGCAAAATATACACATTGCATAATGAGTTCTAAAATATGAAAAATATTTACTAAATCAAATGTTATTTTAATCCAAATTACTAATTTTTACAAGATTATTAATAATTTATAGTTAAGTTCTGTGGAACAGATTACTATTATTAATTCTAATTAAAGTACTAATGTTATTTTGAAAATAAAGATACCTAAATTTGATATTAAGATAAGTGATTATATCCTTGTGGTTATGTTTAATAATTTAAAAGTTATTACTGTTTAGGCTAAGTGTTAAGTTCTTAATATTATTTATAAATTACATCCATCTTGAAGTAAAACATAACTTTATTGATTGGCCATGTCTTACAACTCGATATCAACTTCTTTTTAAGTTTCTTAATATTTTTTGTTTTATTGATTTGTAAGAAGTCCTGTTTGAATTTAAGAAGAGCCTGGAATCATTTTAATAAAATAATTATAATTATTAAAATATTATATTTTTTTAAAGTTAATAAAATATATCATTTTTTTCCTTATTAGGGAATTAAAAATTCTGATAAAAAGTCTTATTCTTATTATTTTGTTAGATTTGATTTTGATTATCCTGATTAATTTTAAAGTCCTAATGGTTATTCAAACTACTATCTTTATATTTATTTAAAATGATATTATTAATTTTAGTAATCTTATTCCTAAACATCTTATCCCAAATATTAATCAAGTTTTTATTGATCATTATAATCATATTATTCATTATCAATATCTGGTATTTCTTAGACTGGAGAATTGCTAACTTATTATCGAAAACCCTTTTATATTTAATTTAAATAATACTTATAATTATTGCATAAGTCGTTAATTTTCTTCTTTTAGTTTTTTTTTTTCATCTGTAAAATAATTTGGATACACTTTAATTAGATAATCATTGTAATTCATTTTTTCAATGTTAGTTTTTTGAATTGCTTATTTTAATCTAATACTTCCATTTTCATATCTCTAAAATAAATTGGCTATTTATTCTCTAAACTCTTAATTTCTTGTTTCAGCTAAGGGTCTATTACCATTCCTAATCTTGATACCTGGTTCGCTTTATAGTTTCAATTTCTCTTTATAAACTTGATAAATAATTTTAGGCTGCTTTTTCATATAATTAGTTTCTCTCTGCCATTTTATCTCTTATAGTTTATCTATCTCTTCGACTAATTTTGATAAAAATAAATTAGTTACAATCTTTCAATTGATTCATCAATGGACTCTTAATTCATCATATTATTATAGTATATTTATTAATTTAAACTAATTATTAAATTAAATGTGTTACGTAATTAAAAGTCTTTATTAGGTATTTTATAATAAAAGAAAATAGTAAAGGTTGATACTTCAATAGAATTAAATAACTTTTAAACTTTTAATCGTGTGTTAGTTTAAATTTAGAATAATTTAAATAATATCATAATTCAAAATCGATCAGTTATTGGTCTACTAGCTTTTCTTGTTGAATTAAGACCAATTTAAAAATCTGAAAATTTATAATTTAAAAAACCAGGAATCCAAATCTTTTTTTGTCCTAAAAATTATTCATCTAAAGAGGGATGTAATATTTTTCTAACTTATATTTAATTAAATTGATTTTTAGGAGTTTTTTAATCGTTTTCATAGTCTTCATCTTACTTAAATCTGGACTTTAACTTTGGTTCTGTATTCATTTTAAGATGTCGACTAGTTTTGAGTTAGGAATCACACAAAAAATTGTCAAGATTTGGGTTTTCTTAAAGAAACTCATGATTTTGAACTTGTTAAGAAAGTAACATAAGTTGTTTTTATTTAAATGAAAAAGATTTTCTTCTTTTCACTTTATAATTTTTTTACATAATATTGTTGTGAGACACAACTCTAAATTTTATTAAATTAATTTACTCTGGTTATTTTTGTTTTTTATTTTGAAATCCTGCTTAAATTGAATTCATTTTCTCTTTTTCTTATTCTTAGATTTGTGCATTGACAAGTTTTCTATATTCAATAGCTTTAGGTTTCATAGAGTCATCTTATTATTATTAATTTAATTTTTTCACAGTTTTGTCAAAAACAATTTCAATATTTTTAATACCTTTCTAAGTATTAAAATATTTTTCAAAAGTAATACTTATTTAATTCTAAATACTTTAGATAAATAAAATACATAATTTGATGAATATCTAATTGTTTTAATTCCGTTTTCAATAAAATTTTGTACAATATGAATTTAATCTCTAGATTTATTTTCTATTTCAAAAAGTAAGGCTAAAATGTTTTCACATTATAAAATTAAAGGTCCTCTTACATTGTTTTCAGCTAAAACTTAAAATCTCTATAAATAATTATAAATAAATATAACTTTTTCAGGATTAACAAATGTGATTGAATGTATATCCCATGCATTAGATTATTTAATTGTGAATTCCATAGATACATTTTTAAATAACCAATGATTTAAGAACTATTTTTTAATAATACATGTCATTTCCGTTTAATTACTAAGCATCTATTATTTTGGTTTATATGTAGGAGATTTAACAACAAATTTTCCAATAGATTGATATTCCATAGCATCTCTTCTATGATGAATTCCAACATTAGACTTAGGAATCCATTCATCAGTCTACTTGCTATAATAATATAAATCGCCAGTAGTTGAATCTAAAAAAAAATCATCAGACCCGTTTTTTAAGGCTTAATTTGTATATTTTGGAAAATCTACGAGTTTACAGCCTTCCCCACATCCATTAGTTATATTTATATACTATAAAATTTGTTACTAGTTTATACATTTTATATATTTGAGGCACATAGATAGGCAAGAGCTTAAGCACCAAAGGAAGTCATAAATAATAGTTTTTTTGTCTTTAAACACATTCGAATAAGTGTAATGATCTTAAATATTTAAATATAATTACACTTCTCATTCTATAATGCCATGGACGAACATTTGGTGAGGCAGCTACAAAAACAATATCAAGAGCATCAAATTTTAATCCATGTTCTGGCCGAACTAAAGATGTTTCAGGTTCAAAGAGATATTCTTGCACTGAATGTCTATCAGCAATTGCAAACTCAAATTCAACATCCCCAACTTCTTTTAATTATTATGTAATCTAATTAAACTATATTGATACATCCCATATTAACTATTTGAATTATTCAATTAATCTATAGTTGTTCCGAGATGCAGGATAACCATTAACTATAAGAAATTTCATTTATTTTTGTTTAGAATAAATTTGATTTCATACTATAATTATCTCAAAGTCAAACAATCTAAATTTACTCACAAGACTCTTAGAAATTCTTATTTTTTTTAAGCATATTTATAAATTGATATAAATCTTTTTATTAAATGTATTTAACATTTATAACATCTTTCTTTTCATTATTGAATTTGATATTCTTATGATTATATTATTTATTCAAGAAATTAAAAGATTCATTGTATTTTTATGACAGTATTATATTTAATTAGTTTTGTCATAATCTAGAAAACAGTTGAATGAATTTAATATTTATAAGATATTTAAGTTAGTAAGTTTATTAGAATTTAGTTTTTAGCAATCATAAATAATTTTTTAGTCAATAAAAAAGTCAAATTGTTGTTTTACTAATTAAAAAAGAATATAAACCTATAAATGAGAGCATTTAATTTGTCAATTGATTGAATATATGAAGAATATGTAACAATCAAATTGATTAATGAGATGAGCCATAAATTTAATTAAATTAATGAACTAAGATCATGTGAGTTAATAAACTTAAAGTCAAACTCCTCACAATTAAGATATCAACCTTTAGTTGTCAAGTAATTAATCATTGCATATAATGGTAGAATATTAATAAATAAAATGAAGAACCCAGAACTATTATAACTTATTTAAGAAATTGATGAGGAATAATAATAACCTTAGAAACCCAGACCAAGGCTTAGCTTGGATTCAGATAAAGAGGGAATAGGGAATCAGTAAATTAAATAAAGATCATTAAGCTCTAGTCCATCTGATTAAAAAACAGTGAAAAATAAAACAAATCAGAGTGGCAGTCAAGCATTAAATAGTGGTAATGGACGATCTAGCAAAACTCCTTAAGATTTTTAAGAAGAAATAATACCATAAGTGAGAAGCATTTTGAAATAAGGAACTTTTATTAGTCATGCATCTTTACCAAGAAGCAAAGGCATAAGACCTAGCAGATTATAAAGGTATTAAATTAGAAGTTATTGTTTTTTAGTTTGTAAAGTCTATAACAATCGATAAGGAAAAATAGAGTTTATCCAGAGGAGGTTAGAGACAATCCTGTGTCTAATTAAAATGATTCAATATCAGAAGATTCATTTTTTGAAGAAACTGAACAAAATTTAGGTGATGATGAAACTAGATTTAGATTTGATAAACGGTATTCTATTTATTTAATGAAGTTATGCTCATCTTTCTTATATGATATTTCCTGATGATCCAATCAAATTTTTATGGGATATTTTGTTAATAATAGCATTATTATATGTCTGTTTTGTAGTACCTTACGAGATATCTTTTAAGAATGATGATACAGAAGAGTCGGTAGTTCAGTTAGGATTATAAATTGCAATAGATATTATTTATGGAATAGATATAATAATAAATCTCTTTAGTGCTTATGTAGATGATTAAGATGAATTAATAATAGATAGAAAAACAATAATCCGACATTATTTAACTGGTTGGTTCATACTGGACTTAATTTGTGTTATGCCTCTTGATTATGTAATAGATGATAGCAATACTTCTGGGTTTTAAAAAATAGCAAAGCTTCCAAAAGCCTACAAAATGATAAAACTTATTAAGATGTCTAGAATGTTAAAGTTTTGCATATAAAAGAAGAAATATGGAGAAATGTTGAATTCTTTTTCAAATATTAGTGTAATAGTGTTTGATTATTATAGTAAAATATTAGGGTTATGATTATCTCACTATTATCTGTAATATTAGTGAGTCATTTATTTTCCTGTTTTTGGTACTTTGTGGGTACGATTTCATCTGATAAAGATACATGGATTGACCATTATGTAGATAATGAATCGAATTTTGAAAGATATGTAATGAGCATGTATTGGGTTTTTTAAACAATGGCAACAACTGGATATGGTGATATATCAGCAACTAATAGTACAGAATAGATGATTGCAATTTTTATAATGATTATTGGTGTAATCTTTTTTTCTGTAACTATCGGATCAGTTAGTTCTTTGTTAACTTAATTAGATTCTTAAAATTTAAAATATAAAGAAAAAATTGATACTCTAAATGAAATTGCTCAACACCATAAAATTGATAATACCTTGTATGCAAAGATTTGTAAAGTGTTAAAGTAAGGATACAAAAATAATTAAAATGAAGTAGTTGAATTTTTACATCTTTTACCTTAAAATTTAAGAACTGAATTATCATAAGCTATGTATAAAAATGTATTTTTAGGGATTGATCTTTTTAAACATAAACCATTAAGATTTACTGCATATATTGGGCCATTATTAACAATTTTAAGAATTCCAGAAGGAGATGTCATTTATAATGAAGGTGATTATGCAAGTGAAATCTATTTTATTAGAGAAGGCAGTGTTTCATTATGTATAAAAGAATGTGATTATCATCCTTTTATGACAATAGACGCAGGATAATATTTTGGAGAAATAGAATTAATTAAAGAAACTTAAAGAAAATATACTGCTATTGCTTAGAAATAATGTGAACTTTTATCACTTTCTAAATCTAATTTTTATAAAATATTTTTTTCAGAATTTAGGGAAATTGGTGAAGAATTACATGAAGATGCTAGAAGAAAAAAAAGAGATTATGAAGATAAATTTACTAAAACTAAAGCTTATTTATAAGGTTTAGAATAAAAAGCAGAATAATAATTAACTGAATCTAATAATGAAAGTAATAAACTTGGATTAGAAAAATTTAAATTGAATTTAATGTTTTAAGCCTAGACCAGAAAAGGATTTTTAGATAGAGCAATTAAAGATGCTGAATAATAAACATCTAATGAATTAAAAAGAAGAATGACACACTTAAAAACAGTTTTATTATAAAAAGGAATTATCAATAATATAGATGAAAAAAGTCCAGGTAGAAAATCTCCTAAATTAATTAAAACTAATACTTTAAATAGTGAAATATAAACTAGAAAATTTGATAAAAAAAATACTTTTTTACCTATGGATATAATTTAATAAGCTCAATAAATAAGTTCAGATGAAGATAATAAATTAACAAATAATAATTAACAACAAGACCAAAATAATCATAGAATTTCTAAAAAAGCAATGACTACTTTTCTCTAACCAGAATCCAGAGAACATAAAGCCGATTTTCTTTTATCTCAAGATGGGATGTTAAGTTCTCAAAATCCGTCATCCTATAATACAAATATACAATTTTTGAAAAATAGAAAAAAATAATTGTACCTCTGATTATTATTTAATTTATTTGAATGTCAAATCTCATTCTAAAAATATGAATGCAAATATTTGATTATGTATTATAAAATTTATAATTTATTAATTCATTGTTCATACATAAATTAATCTTCAGTTTGATATTACTGTTATTAGATTGGTAAATTAATCTCTAATTCCTATTTACATATTGGACAATGTTTTTCCTTTCCTAACCATAACTTAATGCATTTTGAATGATATATATGATGACAAGGTAATTCTCTGCATTTATCTGAATTCTGAAATTCATTTTAACATATAGAACATCTTAAAATTATTTATTTAATTTCATTTACAATTATTCATCTGTTTTGCATTGATCAAAACTTATTTTTGGAATAGTTTTTATTTGTTCCTTATTCAAACCTCTATTTACATATCCAATTGTATCTTCAAGTTAGAGAAGTTATTCATAAGTCAAATTATCAACATCAACAAAAACTGGAATGTCTTCATTACTATGACGAATCTAATTTAGAAAGTGTCTCAAATCATTTAAATTTGTCATATGTTATTAAAATCCATCTTGAGAATCTTATATATAAATTTTATATCATACATGCTTCATCCTCTTCTTAAAGATTTAGTTAGTTTTCTAATTAAGTGATGTGTTCGATTAAAATTTATCTTTCTTCCATTAGTTTATGAGATTACATTTATAACTCTTTACAACAATTTTCTCTTTGTTTAAGTAATTGAAGTAAGAGTTAAATTTTGGTTTCTTTCTCATCAATAATCTACCCTTATTTATAAGAACTTTTACCTTTTTAGACTTCTTTACTAACTCTTCTAACAGTTTACATTATCTCAACAAATCCTCTATAATTGGTGAATTAACAGGGTGATCTTGAAGCTTACGCTTTTGAGATATTGTAGACCTGCTCATCTTTATTTCTGGAGATTAAGACTATTTAGAAACGAAAGGATGCTTTTCATTTTTTAATAATTTTAATGCTAACTCTTTTCGTAATTCAGGAGAATGACTTTTTCTGATGTTCATTTTTTAGATTAATATTTTTATATAAATTTATTGTAAAATATATGATTTCTTCCTCATATAGAATCTCATGGTGTAAAATATATTCATCATTAAAATGATTATATAATTATAGCTTTTTTATTATTAAAATAGGTATCTATTATCAAAAATATTCATTCATCACATAATATTAGCTTTTTAGAATTGTTAAATACTAAACATTAAATTATGAATCAAAGAACAATAACTAAGTTTTATTTTGAATAATCCATCATTCACAAACAATACTTAATTACAATCATAGTTTGATTAGAATATAAATTAAACTGATATATAAGTTTCAAATGTAATTTCATTTTAGTAAATATTAACTTAAACATTTACTTAAAATTAAGTACTTAAAATGGTGCTAAAAATAATAAATCATCAAGCAAAAATAAATCAAGCTTGGATTTATTATTAAGAATAATTAAATGAGTGAGAGATATAATCTTGCTGATTTTGTCAAATTTAAAAAAGGAAATGGTTTTGGGTTTGGCAAAATAGAGAATTTTAGTAGAGAAGAAGATTGGTTCCAATATTTTGAATACATTTTAAGCCAAGATTTACCAACAGGTTAGTTTATTTATTGTATAAATATTACTCTATAGCTATTTTCAAATTATCATTATATCTATATTTTAATGTTTTATAAATTTTTTAGGTAAACAACAACATCATGGATAGTATGAAGTTTTTAAGACAGATTAATTTTTTAAAGGAAGAATGTCTGAAATTATAGAGAAAGTTAAATTAATGAAGTTATCTGAATATATTTAAATGAATGAAAGAAAAGGTTATGTGATAAGATAATAGTATATATCAAGAGAATTAATGCCTCCCTTAAAATATTGTTTTTGTAATTAATATGTGAATCCTGATTAAGTTCTTGTGGTCTGTAATTTATGTGAAAAGGCCTTTCATGCAGAATGCCTGAATAAGAAATTAAATTAAGGATTAGTTAATTGTGACTCATGTAGAGAATAATTTACAAATAAATCCATTCCAGATAGCATAAGGGAAAGTCTAAAGATTAAAAAGAGTGATGTAATTGTACAAAATTAATCAAATAAAATAAATGAATAATAAAATGCTGTTTTAATTGAAGAGGAAGGAGAAGAAGAAATAGAAAGAAATGAAAGAAGGATAGATTTAGATAAAATATTAAAGAAAATCAAAATTAAAGAGGGATAATAAGCAAATTAAGTCAAAATTATTAAAGAACAAATTTAAAAAGATACTACAATAGCAAAAGTTAATACAAATTAATAATTAAAATAAACTTCTTAACCTTTTAAAAATATATCAACTGCCAGTATTGAGAAAATTAAATTATGGGTTGAAAAATATAAACAAATGGAATCAAATGTGTCTAGTTTTGAAAAAAAAAGATAAGAAGTAAGAGAAAAGTTTTTTACAGTGATTTTTTATGGAATTGAAGAATTAAGAGATTTGTTTCAATAAGATCAAAATTCTGTTAGTTAATAAGAAAAATGGATTCTTTCTATGACAGATGTTGCTTTATTTTAGTATATAAAGAATTTGGCTCTAGATATTGAAGTTTTTACTCACATTAAATATAATGTTTAATTTAAAGGGAAACTTGAACCTAATTATATTGATAGATGCAAATTAATATATTTACATATGAAAGATGATAATAATCTTGAATTAAGGAGAAAGGTAATTTCAAAAGAATTTTAAGCTTAAGACCTTTGTATCAGAGATGAAAGAGATTTATATAATCCTGATAAAAGGAAAGAAACTCAAGAAATAGCAATGAGAGTTATTGAAATGAATTAAAAAGAAAAAGAAGATGAAGCTACTATTACAAAAGAAATGGAAGAAGTCTCTTTAATAAAACAGGTATAATAATAATTTGAAATTTTTAGTAATCTATTATAGATGAATTTTAATCTTTAGAAGTAAGAAAGGATGGATATTCTTCTTAATGGTAGCTTAAGGAAAAGTTAATAGAATATTCAGTGGAGAATTCTTTGTCAAGATTCAAGACAAGGATTGCAGAAGAATTAAGTGAAAGAGAGAAAATATTAATTTTAAATAGTTTAGATTAATTTTATAAAAATTAATGAATAATATAATTTCTTTGTTATATTAATATTTATATTAATAAATAATTTTTTTTTAAATTTATACCTAATAAATTTTATTCATAAAAAATCTCTAAATACTAATCTTATGATATTAAAATGTTCATTGTTCCTGATATTTTTTCCGTTATTTTTTTAAACTTTTATCAATATTTCATTAACACCTTTTTGAACATGTTGTTGATAAAAATAATAATTGATTGGAGCTAATTTTCAAAGGTTGACCAGAATTACAGTTATCAATTTTAATGGCTATGTTATTTTGGATAAAGATAAAGATTTAAGATAATTAATTATATTGCATGAAAATCTGGGATCATTCCATAAATAATTAAAGATATACAAAGACTACAATGAGTTTTACAAGTATCAGCTTTAACTATTATTCAAAGATATATAAAACAATAATTCATAGATAAGACTATAATTAGACATACTTTGAAGAGTGATTTTTGATTCTATAGAATTTAATATTTAGGATTATCAAAAAAGAGATCTTATGAAAGTAGACTCTCTAAAATTAGAAGAAGGATCAAATAATATAATAATACCTTTAATATAAAGGTTTAAATAGATCTTTTTGAAATATTTGGGTCAATTCATATAATCAAGAAAATAAAATTCAGAGATTGGTACAAGAATAACTTTATTTGTATTCAGAAATGAAATTAGTTGAATTATAAATAACTAAATTGGGATAAGGATAAATAAAAGAAATAAAATTCTAAAAAGTAAATACAAAAGAATTTCAAAAACAAACTAAAAAGATACTAGAAGTAAACAAAAGGTAAGTTGACTTAAAATTCAAAATAATTTATTTAAGAACCTTGTAAAGAGGATGATATAAATACTATTATAAATTTTAAAAGGAATAAATATCAAAAAAGAAAAGTTAATGATGCAAACATCAAAAGCTTAATATTAATTTAAAAATATGTTTAACATAAAAATTTCTCCCAAACAAAAATCAGATGACAGGTCTATAATGAATTAAATATTGAAAGAAGAAGCATTTTTCTTGAACCAGAAGCAAGGCGATATTCATTCTTTTGTTTTAGATGATGATTAAGATTAGCTTCTTAATAAATTACTTAGCATTCATAAGATGACTAATATAGACAAGGAAAATTATACTAAACATATTAGTTATTGTGTAAGAAATTTAGGACAAAAATCAATAGATAAATTGCCGATGATTATGGAAAAATATGTAATATTGTCATAATATATAATTTAGAAAAATGAAGATGAAAGATTCTAAATAATGTTTATAGATTAACTAAATTTGATATATGAAGCATCTCAACAAGCCTAATAACCAGTCATATAAATTTTAAGCTTTTTTTTATTGAATAGTATTTTGAAAATTAAAGAACTTGCAGGTTAATAATTGACAAAAATTGCACTGCATTTATAAGGAGATGAAAAAGGAAATTAATTATTACCAATCATTATAAAAATGGCACATGATGATCTTAATTAAGATAATAGAATAGTGGCTTTATAATTGATGGGGAAGTTATCATCAATGTTTGGAATACAATTAAGTGAATCTTTTATTGCTTTTGAAGTAATGTCTTTAGGAGAAGATTCAAAACAAGATGTGAGAAGGGAGGCTGTAAATTAATTACCTTTAGTAGCTAAAATTGTTGGTAAAGATTTTTTTAATAAAAAATTATTCCCATTCTATATGAAAAGATGTAAAGAATCAAATACTAAAGTAAAAACTGCATGTGTTGAACATTTTTTACAAATTGTAGAATTATCTTCATAAAATTAAAAAACTGTAGATTTAACACCCCAGATAATATAATTTTAAAAGTAATAAATATAATTATATTTTTAGTGATTCAAATAAATATATTAAGGGAGTTGCTTATAGATGTTTAGCTAGATTTATTGCTGCTATTGAAAAAGAGAAAATTGAACCAAAATTAATTGAAAACTATCTTAAAATGGCTGATTCAGATATTAGAGAATTATTACCTGAATAATAAGTAATGTTTGCTTGTGCTTATGGTTTTCCTGCAGTTTTATCTACAGTTGGAGTTAATAGATGGTAATAATTACATAAATTGTTCAATCATTTATGGAAATAAAAAAATGAAAGAATTTGTAAGACTTTAGCAGCTAGTCTTCATGAAATTGCTAAAATTATTGGTGCTGAGAGAGCTGAAATAGATTTATTTCCTATTTTAGAAAATATTTTTGTCAAAGAACCAAATGATAATGTTTTAATGGGTTGTGTTAAGAATTTATCATAATTTTTGAAAATATTTTCTGATGAAAAGAAAGAAGCATTTTTAGAAATATTTTTTTTATTCAAAAAGATTAAAAAAATGGAGAATTAGAGAATCTATTGCTAATTAATTAGATGAAATGGCCCTTATTTTTCCAGCAGATATTATATTTAAAATGATTATGCCTATTGCTTTTAAGCTGTGCACAGATAATGTAGCATAAGTACGAAAAGTAGCATCATCAAAAATATTTTCATTTTTTGAAGGAATAAAGAATTCAGCTTTGTCAGAATAATATAAGATTTGTATTATTGAGAGTATGATTGGTTTTTAAAAGTCATCAGTATTCTATCAAAGATAATCGTAAATATCTATATATATGTTAGATTTGTTTAAATGTGCTAAAAGATAATGAATTTAGCAGATGACATATTTGAATAGTATCTTTTATTACCATTGTTAGAATTAGCTTAAGACAAAGTTTAAAGTGTTAAATACATGTTATATATGACTTTAGATAATCATTTTAAAAATTAAGGTATTTAATTTAGTTTAATATGAATAGGAAGACTATCAAAAAATTAACAATTAAAAGATGTATATAATTAATTATAAAACGACAAAGCAATTAAATCTCTTGTAAAATATACACCTACTCTGGAAACTCAAGTTTAATATCAAGAGTTTTAATAATAAGATAATTAAATTTCTGTTTAGGAATCTAATCTCAATAAGGAACCTTAGTTAGAAGAAATTGAAGATGATGAAATACCATAAAGATAAGTATAATAAGAACCAGAAATCTTAAAACAATTGAAAGAAGAAAAATTATAATTTATCTAAAAATAAGAAGAAAAGCCATAAGAATTACAAATAAATTAATCTGATGTTAAAACAATTGAATAAGTTTAAGAGTTATCTTTGAATGAAAAATCAGAAGTAAATCTTACAACTGATTAAACTACTACTGAGTTAATTTAAAATACTTAATTAGAATCTAATAATTAAAATGATGATTCTCAAGAATTATAAAAGTTTGAACAATTATAAGGTCAAGGGGAATAATAGTAAAAATAGAATGAAGGATTATAATTGAATGAAGAATATTAATAAGGATCATAAAATGATTAAAAAGAATTAAATACTGAATAAGATGCTTAATGAATTTGAGAATTTTCTGTGATAATAATTATTTATAGATATTTAAGAATTTCAGTTTACTTAAGTGTGAAGTTTGAAAATATTTCTTTTGAATCTGCTTAATCTTTTAGGATTTTCTATTTATTCTCTTCCAATATACCCTTCTTCATTGATTGTTTCAATTTCAGGATTGAATTTGACACTTTTTTTCTTAGTACTTAAATTTTATTGAAAAATCAAAACATCTGCATTTTTTATAGGTGTTTTGGAAAAATATTTTTTTTCTAACTATTAAGTATCTTAATTTTTTCGAATGGGAGAATTCTAATGTGACAAAAATTTCAATTCATTTGCTTCAGTTTAAGAAGATTTAAGAAGGTGAGAAAATCTTCCAATTTTTGGAAGTTTAATATATTCTCTTTCAGTAGAGATTTATGTAATTTCTGGATGCTTATTAGACAAGGTTTCTTGTTAGTCTAATTTTTATTATTAAATAGTGGGTAAAGAATTTTCGACTATACTATTTATATCATTAAGGAATATTGAGGGTCTAAGAGATCTAATTTATTTATTCGGAAGTCTTTATTTATCTTCATAACGGCTCTATGCTAATTATTACAACAGTAGATGTTATTATTCTGTGATTCTGAACATATTAATGTTAAAATATAAAAATGATAACATATTTCTAACTATTTATTTACAATTCTATAATTGAAAGATAAAATTGTTGAGAACATATAATATTTGCTTCATAATTCATGATTAATTTAAATATTAATATTTTACATTTGTTTTTTTCTTACATTCATAAAATGTTGAAATAATCTATTATAATATATAAGAATACATTTTGGATTGAAGAATGTATATGAATAAATGATTTATAAATTTGATTTTAGTTTTTTTGGATGAAATATATGTTTAAGATTAAAAATACAAAGAGTATATAATTAAATTATATTTCTTATAGATATTTACTATTTTGATGAAAGAAGATGATAGTTGAATAATTAAGATAATATATATATAAGTATTTGTATATAATTTATGAAAAATTCAAATCTTTTTAATAATTAATGGCATTTGTTAAACTTGTAAAAGGAACACCATACTTCAAAAGATTCTAAACAAAATTCAGAAGACGAAGAGAAGGAAAGACAGATTATTATGCAAGAAGCAGAATGATCACATAAGACAAGGATAAATACAATTCCCCCAAATATAGATTTGTTGTTAGACACACAAATACAAAGATCATATGCTAAGTCATTTATGCTACATTGAAAGGTGATAAGGTAGTAGCAGCTGCTGAATCAACTGAATTGAAGAGATTTGGTTTGACAAGTGGTTTAACAAATTATGCTGCTGCATATGCCACAGGTTTATTATTAGCCAGAAGAACACTTAAATCATTAAAGATGGATAAATTCTATGAAGGTAATAAAACAATAGATGGAACATTGTATGATGTAGCTGATAAAGAGAATCCAGAAAGAAGACCATTCTTTGCTGTTCTTGATATTGGTTTGGTTAGATCAACACTCGGAAATAGAGTATTTGCTGCCTTAAAAGGAGCAGCTGATGGTGGTATTCACATTCCACACAATAACAGAAGATTCCCAGGATTCGTTGTTGATAATGATAAAAAAGAAAAATATGATGCTAATGTTCATAAAGAAAGAATCTTTGGTGTTCATGTTGATAAATATATGGC